CGAGGCCCTACAGTAGCCCGGAACCTAACCTGCTGTATAAGCGAGGCCCTACAGTAGCCTGGAACCTACCCTGCTGTATAAGTAGGGCCCTACAGTAGCCCAGAACCTACCCTGCTGTATAAGTGGGGCCCTACAGTAGCCTGGAACCTACTCTGCTGCATAAGTGAGGCCCTACAGTAGCCTGGAACCTAACCTGCTGTATAAGTGGGGCCCTACAGTAGCCTGGAACCTAACCTGCTGCATAAGTGGGGCCCAACAGTAGCCTGGAACCTAACCTGCTGTATAAGTGGGGCCCTACAGTAGCCCAGAACCTATCCTGCTGTATAAGCAGGGCCCTACAGTAGCCTGAAACCTAACCTGCTGTATAAGCAGGGCCCTACAGTAGCCTGGAACCTAACCTGCTGTATAAGCAGGACCCTACAGTAGCCTGGAACCTAACCTGCTGTATAAGCAGGACCCTACAGTAGCCTGGAACCTACCCTGCTGTATAAGCAGGACCCTACAGTAGCCTGTAACCAAACCTGCTGTATAAGCAGGGCCCTACAGTAGCCCAGAACCTAACCTGCTGTATAAGCAGGACCCTACAGTAGCCTGGAACCTAACCTGCTGTTTAAGCAGGACCCTACAGTAGCCTGGAACCTAACCTGCTGTATAAGCAGGACCCTACAGTAGCCTGGAACCTAACCTGCTTTATAAGCAGGACCCTACAGTAGCCTGGAACCTAACCTGCTGTATAAGCAGGACCCTACAGTAGCCTGGAACCTAACCTGCTGTATAAGCAGGACCCTACAGTAGCCCATAACTAAACCTGCTGTATAAGCAGGGCCCTACAGTAGCCCAGAAACTAACCTGCTGTATAAGCAGGACCCTACAGTAGCCTGGAACCTAACCTGCTGTATAAGCAGGACCTTACAGTAGCCTGGAACCTAACCTGATGTATAAGTGGGGCCCTACAGTAGCCTGGAACCTAACCTGCTGTATAAGCAGGACCCTACCATAGCCCAGAGCCTAATCTGCTGCATAAGTGGGGCCCTACAGTAGCCTGGAACCTAATCTGCTGTATAAGCAGGGCCCTACCATAGACAAGAACCTAATCTGCTGTATAAGCGGGGCCCTACAGTAGATTGGAACCTAATCTGCTGTATAAGCGGAGCCCTACAGTAGCCTGGAACCTAACCTGCTGTATAAGCAGGGCCCTACCATAGCCCGGAACCTAATCTGCTGCACAAGCGGGGCCCAACAGTAGCCTGGAACCTAATCTGCTGTATAAGTGGGTCCCTACAGTAGCCTGGAACCTAATCTGCTCTATAAGTGGGGCCCTACAGTAGCCTGGAACCTAATCTGCTGTATAAGCGGGGCCCTACAGTAGCCTGGAACCTAATCTGCTGTATAAATGGGGTCCTACAGTAGCCTGGAACCTAACCTGCTGTATAAGTGGGGCCCTACAGTAGTCTGGAACCTAACCTGCTGTATAAGCAGGGCCCTAGAGTAGCCTGGAACCTAGTCTGCTATATAAGCAGGGCCCTAGAATAGCCTGAAACCTAACCTGCTGTATAAGCAGGGCCCTACATTAGCCCAGAACCTAACCTGCTGTATAAGCAGGGCCCTACAGTAGCCTGGAACCTAACCTGCTGTATAAGCAGAGCCCTACAGTAGCCCAAAACCTAACCTGCTGTACAAGTGGGGTCCTACAGCAGCCTGGAACTTAACCTGCTGTATAAGCAGGGCCCTAGAGTAACCCGGAACCTAACCTGCTGTATAAGCAGGGCCCTACAGTAGCCTGGAACCTAACCTGCTGTATAAGCAGGGCCCTACCATAGCCCAGAACCTAATCTGCTGCATAAGCAGGGTCCTACAGTAGATTGGAACCTAATCTGCTGTATAAGCAGGGCCCTACAGTAGCCTGGAACCTAACCTGCTGTATAAGCAGGGCCCTACCATAGCCCGGAACCTAATCTGCTGCATAAGCGGGGCCCTACAGTAGCCTGGAACCTAATCTGCTGTATAAGTGGGGCCCTACAGTAGCCTGGAACCTAATCTGCTCTATAACTGGGGCCCTACAGTAGCCTGGAACCTAACCTGCTGTATAAGCAGGGCCCGACCATAGCCCGGAACCTAATCTGCTGTATAAGCGGGGCCCTACAGTAGCCTGGAACCTAACCTGCTGTATAAGCAGGGCCCGACCATAGCCCGGAACCTAATCTGCTGTATAAGCGGGGCCCTACAGTAGCCTGGAACCTAACCTGCTGTATAAGCAGGGCCCGACCATAGCCCGGAACCTAATCTGCTGTATAAGCGGGGCCCTACAGTAGCCTGGAACCTAACCTGCTGTATAAGCAGGGCCCAACCATAGCCCAGAACCTAATCTGCTGTATAAGCGGGGCCCTACACTAGCCTGGAACCTAACCTGCTGTATAAGCAGGGCCCAACCATAGCCCAGAACCTAATCTGCTGTATAAGCGGGGCCCTACAGTAGCCTGGAACCTAACCTGCTGTATAAGCAGGGCCCAACCATAGCCCGGAACCTAATCTGCTGTATAAGCGGGGCCCTACAGTAGCCTGGAACCTAACCTGCTGTATAAGCAGGGCCCAACCATAGCCCGGAACCTAATCTGCTGTATAAGCGGGGCCCTACAGTAGCCTGGAACCTAACCTGCTGTATAAGCAGGGCCCAACCATAGCCCGGAACCTAATCTGCTGTATAAGCGGGGCCTTCCTGTATTACAAAATGCTCATGTTAAAAAATAACTACATGTTTTTAGTGATTTGTCAAATGAATAAATCAATACTGTATTTGTTTCCTAGCAGTTCTAAAACTGACAAACTCTTGCTGGCAATGATTCTTTTCCGATTATTCCCTGGTACTGATTCAGATCTCGAGATTGTTTTTAGTGCTATCTCACTGTAGCCAGCGGGACCTGTGGTGTAAGACACAGGATCCACTGGCTATAATGAGATTCATCCAACTAAGTATATTTACACACCATAGAAAGGTTTCTGGAGTTTATCTGGAGAGAGTTCCGGGGGTCAACGCCCCCGCGGCCCGGTCTGTGACCAGGCCTCCTTAGGTCAGTGTCCCAGGATGCGACCCACACCAGTCGACTAACACCCAGGTACCCATTTTACTGATGGGGAACATAGACAACAGGTGGAAAGAAACACGTCCAATGTTTCTACTCTGGCTGGGAATCGAACCCAGACCCTCGCCGTGTGAAGCGAGAGCGTTAACCACCAGGCCACCAGAGCATGGGTCTTACTATAACTACAAATGCAATTTTTACAGATGAATCTCCCACCAGCGGGGCTGTGATGAACTCTAGCTCAAGTCTCCTCAAAGCCATCATCATAACTCAAGAAATCATAATAAGTCTGTGTTGGTAAACAATAAGCTGTGTATGTTACATTACTCTTGGCCATCCAGCTGTTGTCACTTCATCACTGTCAATCTTTAGAGTCTGTTGAGTTGAACTTAGGCACTGTAGCCACTAGATAAGAAAGGTATCCTGCTCAACTCTGCTTCATTTTAAAGGATCACCTTCAATAGAGCTTATCACCTTCTTTATTAGAGCTCATCACATTTATTAGAGCTCATCACTTCCTTTATTAGAGCCCATCTCCTTTATTAGAGCCCATCACCTTTATTAGAGCTCATCACTCTTATTAGAGGTCATCATTTTTATTAGAGCTCATGACCTTTATTAGAGCTGATCACTTCTTGTTTTTCATCTTATCTTCCAGTACCATGCAGTGCTCACTCTATGGAACCTCTTCTTTGAAGAGTCATTTTGAGTGCTGATACTATCAATGGTTTTATATTTGCAGTTATTCTGTTGCACCAACTTCAACTGCTGTATTCTTGTACTAAACGTCTTCTGTATCATACTTCAGCAATCCTTTTTTTTTTCCCTCTGAATGTACGTACAAATTTGCACAGTATGACACTGAATGATCCCTCATGGTTTCTGATTTTTATGAGCATTATTTTTTCTATTATTTTTTCTATTATTATTATTATTATTATTATTATTATTATTATTATTATTATTATTATTATTATTATTGCTATTACTTCTCAAGTAAGAAAAAATATACAGAAATTAAAAAAATGACTAGGTACAAACATACTTGAAGAGTACAGCCAATTTAGAAATAATGAAATCGATAATGTAGATGTGTATTAATCCTATTGGTGTAACTCTTCAATTATGGAAATGATGTTTTTAAGCTCTCATAACGTCTGCATAAATAACTCATTACAATTGTGCCCAGATATAAACATGTAAATAGTGTTACCACTGCAACTTGTTCACCTATCAAAACTTTGCAGTCCAGTTCCTGGACCCTTTATGTTCCTCTATAATCCTTTGACTACCATCCACAGGAGGGTATGGGGTACATGATAAAGATTTTAAACTACTCTATGTGCTCATGAGTGAGAGCATTAGCTATGAAAACTAGTGCTGAGAAATGTAAGAGTAAAACTCAAATAATCAATGTCTCATGTTGTCTAGAACTGGGAATGTCAAAATTTTCTGGTTCATCAATGATACATCATGACACTACATAGCAGTGATGAGAGATGCATGTACTGTATGATGACCTATGTTTCTCAGTGAATATATGAAGATATCACCTATTCATTCTTGTCACTGTTCTTAAAGAATGTGTTTCCAGCTATCTTGCTCGAAGTTGCAAATGACCTGACAAACACTTACTACAAAGGAAAAATACTGGAAATGCCTAAATATCCCCAACAATCAAACTTTAGTTCTCAGGTTAACAGTCGGAGGTTGAAAGTGATATGGTTTATGGGATTTTGAATATAAATTAGGTTGTAATAGTGGTGGCATAACATTATGACTGGGCATCGAGCACTGACCAATAGATATATTGCAATTATTATAGCGGTTATTAACAATACTATTTTCATTATTAATTTTATAAATCCTTCTAGATTGATTCTGATGGTCTGGAGTGGATGGCTGTCTGCGATACTTTACCGGTGACCATTCTCCGGCTTTCCATTTATATCGCTGTCGTTGTCGTCCTCGTCTCCTTCCACCACCGCCGCAGGGAATTTTACATGGCCGTTTGTAAGTGGGTCTGTCAGCAGCATGGCATTGTTTATCATCCAGCGGAGGGCCATTAGGATCTCTACAAACAACCAGACGTTCTTGCTGACCTCGTCCACAGCGCCGTTGACGCTCACGTCGTATGCGGCACTGTTTATCAAAAAAAATTGTGCATTAATTACTTTGTTTCAATGAACCAGTTGTATCCCACAGAAGCAGGGTGACCTAAAAAGAAAAATGAAAGTTTTTTTTTTTTAAATTCAGTATTTTATACAGAAGAAGGGGTTACTAGCCCATTGCTCCTAGTATTTTAGTTGCCTCTTAGAACATGCATAGCTTATGGAGGAAGAATTCTGTTCCAGTTCCCCATGGAGTAAATTAATTAATTACTTCTTTCTTTCTTTCAACAAACTGGCCGTATCCCACCAAGGCAGGGTGGCCCAAAAAGAAAAACAAAAGTTTCTCTTTTTAAATTTAGTAATTTATACAGGAGAAGGGGTTACTAGCCCCTTGCTCCTGGCATTTTAGTCACCTCTTACATCACGCATGGCTTACAGAGGAAGAATTTTGTTCCACTTCCCCATGGAGATAAGAGGAAATAAACAAGAGCAAGAACTAGAAAGAAAATAGCAGAAAACCCAGAGGGGTGTGTGCATATATATGCTTGTATATGTATGTGTAGTATGACCTAAGTGTAAGCAGAAGTACCAAGACATACCTGAAATCTTGCATGTTTATGAGACAGAAAAAAGGACACCAGCAATCCTACCATCATGTAAAACAATTACAGGCTTTCGTTTTACACTCACTTGGCAGGACGGTAGTACCTCCCTGGGCGGTTGCTGTCTACCAACCTACTACCTACATTAATTACTTAGATGTGTAATTATTTCAATCAGAAAGACATACTGTATAGTACTGTATATACATTATTATGTACTGAACTCAGAGCATATAATCATAAATCAGCAAGCCCTTGATTTAACCCTTTGAAGGTTTGAGATCCCTCGTTTCAAACTTGCTCTCAGGGTTCAAGAATTTAAAAACCATAATTATTTTATCTTATGAAGTAATACAGTATCTTTTTCCAAAGTAATGCAACCAAAAGTGCAAAATTTGATGAAAAATTTACAGAATTATGCTCTGGCAAAGTTAGCAGTCTCAGTGAAATTTATGCATCAGAGATTTTGCCCACTTTGCACCCTATTTTGGGCCAATTCCATTGTTCCAGTCTACCAAACTCATAGCTATTCTGCTAGTATTCCTTCTATCAATTGAGTACAAGAAGTTGCCAATTAACCTATTTCAACTACTTGATTTCTCATCATTAATCAGAAATCAGTAATTTGGCCAATATCACACAAAATAAAAAACTGTCAATTTTAAAATAGAGTCTAGAATAAAGAAAGCAGTCATTACTGGCACTTAAAATAAAGTATTTCCTCTGTTCCTTAGTCATGTCTCCAGGTTCCTCTTATATTATGCTTGTTTCCCATTTTGAATTTTTATTCACACAAATAATAGATTTATTGTTATGAAGACTACTGCATTATTGTAATAATTACATAAATAATGTCAGTGCATTCCTAAATGTGTATCAGACTGGCCAGCTGGATGCGTACTGGACAAGTGACATCATATGTGCACTCTGGAATATTGGCAAAAATTGACCTTTTCTGCTACTTTGAGCTCAATTTCAAGATGCTTTCAGTCCTGAAACCAATCAAAATTATCTCTATTTCTGTAATATATCTTCCATTCTATCAAATGAGACTAAGAAACCAAGAATAAAATCACAAAAACCATATGAAAATACACCGCAAAGATGCTGGTCACAGTTTTATCTCATTATGCACTATATGCTGCATAAATTTTTTATATGGTGCACACTTACTGCATAGACCCATTCGCTTATATCTAGGCCTAAATTTACTGCTCAGAGCTTATCTGAGTGAGCTGAGCTCATGGCATCTTACTATGGGACTAACACTGGCTTCAAACCCATAGTACAATGGGATCGACCCCTAAAAGGGTAAACAGACTTTGACAATCTGCTGGGTTAAATGATTTGGAATAATGGACAAAATAAGCTACTCACATGACCCCAGTCTCCTGTGGACCATTCAGTACAAATATGAGTGTTACATGGGGCAGTGTCTATTGGCCGTCTATCTTGTGGACACAAAGATTCTTCGCCCATGCACACCACTTGCCGACGCTTCTCTCCACCACCACAGTCTCGAGAGCACTGCCAGAAACCAATGCATTAAATAAAGAAACTAATCAAGGAAATAATTATACTGATGCCTCATGACTATGAGAAGAAAATATTATTATACCTGTACTGTGCATCAATATGCCAATCATCTTTTTTATAAGATTATTACAGTGCTGTAACTGGATATTTACTAGGTGTCTATCATTCCTAGCCTCAGCCTTAATACATCACTAATTTTAATTAATTTATTGAATTACTAAATACCTCCAATATAATAAAAACTATATATTCTTATTCTCATATATTTGCAATCATATTTTAGTTTTAGAGCTGCCCGAAATGCCTTGCATAATGAAAGGTTTTCTATAAGTAGTTTATATATATATATATATATATCAGTCACCATAACTGTATAATATACTGTACTCCATTTTATAGAAATGAAGTTTTATATACAGTGGAACCTTCATAAAAATGTTAAAAGAGCATTAGCAAAGTAGGCATAACTAATGTATGTATTGAGAGAAAATGAGGCTTCCCTCCTCAGAGAAAATGGAAGGTGGAAGGAAGCATACCGAGCTCAAAATTGTCAGCATAGTTGCTGATCCTCCTTTACACGTGTTGTATGTATAGATTAGCTGAGTATCATAGTACCATCCATGTGTTTATATAGAAGATCCCTAGGCCTGTGACTGTATGATGTCACGGGATGCAGCATGAGTGAGTGGGTCGCTCTGCCTCGTTCTCACTCCGTGCTTAGACATACGAAGGCAAGAAGGCAGGCTGGGCCCCCCTTCCTTACCACAGTCTGACAATACATATCATTACCATCCAACAACTGTGTTTACCTTCAACCATCATATCTCCTACCGAACCCCCACGACAAAAATAACAGGTTCAATACTGACACAAGCAAAGGTAAGACAGGAGATGATGTATTCCAAAATGCTTGATCAGAACCAAATAAATAGAACTATTGTAGTTTTTATGTAATTCCTAAGTAATAATGATTTCCACTAAATTATTCTTCATCAGTGGTCATGTTATGCCAATGCAGGGTGACCTAAAGAAGAAAACACATTCACCGTCATTCAAAGTATAGCTGTCTTTCCAGAAATGTGCTGACATCATGATCAGATTACCTTCTGGCTCCAACATCCTTGCCCTCCAGAGTACAAAAACTGTCCTTCCCACTGCCAGGACTCAAGTCCAGCTAACCAGGTTGCTTGAAGCCCTTTATGACAGTTACGTTGCCCACACTTCAACAACACATCCACTGAAAACCATGTCTCCATTCCCTTGTACCTAACACTCACACAATCCTACTGGATGGCTCAAGTACCCAAAAAACACACTTTTATGCCCTCCCTCCCTACCTATCTACTTACCTAGAGTCTACCCACTAGGAGGCAGGTCTGAGGGTCAGTGCCCCTGTTGCCTAGTCTATGACCAGCCTCACAGTGAATTAGGGCCTGAACAATCAGGTTGTTTCTACTGGCCACATGCAATCCAATATATGAACCACAGCCTGTCAGGTCAGGGACTGATTTTAGGTGCCTGTCCATCTCCCTCTTGAAGACAGATAGGGGTCTGCTGGTAATTCCCCATGTGTATGATGGGAGGCTGTTGAATAGCAACCTTCCGTGATTATTTTCTATGTCCTTCCATTTTAAATGTCCTAAAATGAAATCACCAAGCAGCAAAATGTTTGGGGCTGGGGTTTGAAAATTTTCCAGACAGTTATCAATTTTTAGTAACTTTTCCTTGAACTGTTGGGAGGTTGCATCTGGCAGCTTGTATACAACAACAATGACTAGGTTTTAGTTCTCAATCTTTACTGCCAAAACTTCAACTACATCATTTGTGGTGTTTAATAACTGTGTGCAGATGAGCAACTCGTGATGTAGAAGCAAACCCAACCCCTTCTGGTTACCTGTTCTTTCTGTCACATCTAAGTAAGTAAGTAAGTAAGTTGTGTATAAGTTGTACCCTGATATCCATATTTCATTGTCAAAGTGATCTTTTATGTGGGTCTCTGTGAAAGCTGTGACCATCACATTTGACTCCACGAGGATTCCACTGATGAAAGGTATTTTAAAGTTGGTGGATGACCGAGATAAAACCATTCCCATTACTATATGATACTAATTATAATACTGTTATATGTTTTGTATTACCTCACTATTATCAATCTTATTCATTTTAATTTTTTCAATTACTTAACTTTTATACTAATATGCAACAATAAATATTAAAATGTACTGCTCCATAACCTGTGTCAAAATAGAACAATCAGTAAGAATTAGGGTTAGACTGCCCAAAATGCTTAGGTATCCTAGTGGCTTTTTTCGTAACTAATATCTTATAATATGTAAACCACATATTGTAGGCTTTGCAAGGAAATAAAAATTTTCAATTTCAATTTTCAATTTTTCAATTTCAAGGGCTTGTATATTTGTAAATACAAATGAATGTACTGCTGGTTTGTTGAGGGATTCTTTTTGTTGGCACTAACATCTGGTTCTGGAGTGGGGGAGCCACTGACTGTGTCTACAATCCAACAAGGTTCCAAGGTGGTGGAATATTTTTGTAATTTCTTGCCATTTTTTCTGTTTCCTAGCACTAAAAAACCTCCTGCTCTTGAATGGTTGTTACTACCATGGTTAGTTTCCCAGGGTATGTGGGATCTATAGCACCTGGTCCCTCTCAAGTGGTAGTTAGAGCAGTTCCTGGGACAATTCCTACCTCTCCTACCTTACACAATACATTTTCTACACATTATTCATCAATCTATCTCTCTCCATCCTCTCTACATGTCAAAACCACTTCAACACCACCACTTCAGATCTCTGAATTATATCCTTGGTCACCTTATACTGACTTCTAATTTCTATGCTTTGAATCCACTACATCTTCATTATTATTATTATTATTATTATTTTTTTTTTTTCAACAAGTTGGCCGTCTCCCACCAAGGCAGGGTGACCCAAAGAGAAAGAAAATCCCCAAAAAGAAAATACTTTCATCATCATTCAACACAGCAACAACCCAGGGAGGTATTACCGTCCTGCCAAGTGAGTGTAAAACGAAAACCTGAAATTGTTTTACATGATGGTAGGATTGCTGGTGTCTTTTGTCTGTCTCATAAATATGCAAGATTACAGGTACGTCTTGCTACTTCTACTTACACTTAGGTCACACTAAACATACATGTACACGTTTATTTATACACACTCATCTGAGTTTTCTTTGATTTTATCTTAGTTCTTGTTCTAATTACTTTTCCTTTTATATCCATGGGGAAGTGGAATAAGAATCTTTCCTCCGTAAGCCATACGTGTTGTAAAAGTCAACTAAAATGCCGGGAACAATGGGCTAGTAACCCTTTTCCTGTAAAAATTACTAAAAAGAATAAGAAGAAAATATTATTATTATTATTCTTATTATTATTATTATATTCTTTTTTTCTTTCAACACACCAGCCGTATCCCACTGAGGCAGGGTGGCCCAAATGGAAAAATGAAAATTTCTCCTTTTAAATCTAGTAATATATACAGGAGAAGGGGTTACTAGCCCCTTGCTCCTGGCAATTTAGTCGCCTCTTACGACACGCATAGCTTATGGAGGAAGAATTCTGTCCCACTTCCCCATGGAGATAAGAGGAAATAAACAAGAACAAGAACTAGAAAGAAAATAGCAGAAAACCCAGAGAGGTGTGTGTATATATATGCTTGTACATGTATGTGTAGTGTGACCTAAGCGTAAGTAGAAGTAGCAAAATGTACCTGAAATCTTGCATGTTTATGAGACAGAAAAAAGGACACCAGCAATCCTACCATCATGTAAAACAATTACAGGCTTTCATTTTACACTCACTTGGCAGGATGACAGTACCTCCCTGGGCGGTTGCTGTCTACCAACCTACTACCTATTATTATTATTATTATTATATTTATTATATTACAGTATTATATTATTAATTATATTATGATTTTCTTTCTTTCAACACACCGGCTGTATCCCACCGAGGCGGGGTGGCCCAAAAGGAAAAACGAAAGTTTTTCCTTTTACATTTAGTAATATATACAGGAGAAGGGGTTACTAGCCTCTTGCTCCTGGCATTTTAGTTGCCTCTTACAACACGCATGGCTTACGGAGGAAGAATTCTGTTCCACTTCCCCATAGAGACAAGAGGAAATAAACAAGAACAAGAACTAGAAAGAAAATAGGAGAAAACCCAGAGGGGTGTATATATATATGCTTGTACATGTATGTGTAGTGTGACCTAAGTGTGAGAAGAATTAGCAAGACATACCTGAAACCTTGCATGTTTGAGACAGAAAAAAGGACACCAGCAATCCTACCATCATGTAAAACAATTACAGGCTTACATTTTACACTCACTTGGCAGGACGGTGGTACCTCCCTGGGCGGTTGCTGTCTACCAACCTACTACCTATTATTATTATATTTATTATATTACAGTATTACATATATTATTATTATATTATTAATTATAAAGGGGACAAAAGAGACTGTAAAAATTATAGAGGAATAAGTTTACTGAGTATACCAGGAAAAGTGTACGGTAGAGTTATAATTGAAAGAATTAGAGGTAAGACAGAATGTAGGATTGCGGATGAGCAAGGAGGTTTCAGAGTGGGTAGGGGATGTGTAGATCAAGTGTTTACATTGAAGCATATATGTGAACAGTATTTAGATAAAGGTAGGGAAGTTTTTATTGCATTTATGGATTTAGAAAAGGCATATGATAGAGTGGATAGAGGAGCAATGTGGCAGATGTTGCAAGTAAGTGACCCGATAACGAGGCATGCATAGCGATTTATTCCGCATAACGATTACTTTTATCGAAATTTTGCCCCGCATACCGATTAAACCCGCATACCGATTTTGTCCGAGACGCGTCAAGTGCCCTCACATGTGCCGCGTCCCAAATAGTTTACAGCCAGCACTCCGCGTAACACCTAGCTACACCTGGAATATTCGTATTAATATCATGTTTTCGTGCTGTTTGTGGAAAATAAAGTACCATAGGGCCCCAAGAAAGTTCTAGGCCACCCGGGTAAAGGGTGGGAATTATATGGAAAATTAAGAAAGATTTTGAAGGGTTTGGGGCTAACCCTGAGAAGCCTATGCCAGTTTGTGGAATCATTGTGCCTACTTCAAAGATTAAGGAAATGTGTGCAGAGTGGTTGAACTGCAAACCTTTATAGATGAAAATCACCCTGACACACTGTTGCAAGCCGTGCTTGTGACTATTTCAATGACAATGTTATGGCCCATTTTAGGAAAGTCTTGAAGAACGGGAGGTACAGAGCTCTATGGACAGATTTGTTGTGCGACAGAGGTCCAGTGACTCTCAAGCTGGTCCTAGTGGCATTAAAAGAAGAAGGGAAAGTAACCCCAGAAAAGGACTTGCTACCACAAGTCCTAATGATATGATTATCCATATAACATAAGAAGATTAATTGTTCCCACCCATACCCATGCAATCAGTCACCAGATCTTCAATAAAATAAGTTACATGTAATTGATGCTTTTGAGTTTGTGAAGATTAAAAGTTAACATTTCATGTGGTAAAGAAAAAGGAGTTTTTTCAACTTTTGGGCGTTGCACGGATTAATTTAATTTTCCATTAATCATTATGGGAAAATTTGATCAAGTAAGGATTATTTTGCATTAACGATGACCTTTGAACGGATTAAAATCGTTAACAGGGAGGGTCCAACGTATATGGAATAGGTGGTAAGTTATTAAATGCTGTAAAGAGTTTTTATGAGGATAGTGAGGCTCAGGTTAGGGTGTGTAGAAGAGAGGGAGACTACTTCCCGGTAAAAGTAGGTCTTAGACAGGGATGTGTAATGTCACCATGGTTGTTTAATATATTTATAGATGGGGTTGTAAAGGAAGTAAATGCTAGGGTGTTCGGGAGAGGGGTGGGATTAAATTTTGGGGAATCAAATTCAAAATGGGAATTGACACAGTTACTTTTTGCTGATGATACTGTGCTTATGGGAGATTCTAAAGAAAAATTACAAAGGTTAGTGGATGAGTTTGGGAATATGTGTAAAGGTAGAAAGTTGAAAGTGAACATAGAAAAGAGTAAGGTGATGAGGGTGTCAAATGATTTAGATAAAGAAAAATTGGATATCAAATTGGGGAGGAGGAGTATGGAAGAAGTGAATGTTTTCAGATACTTGGGAGTTGACATGTCAGCGGATGGATTTATGAAGGATGAGGTTAATCATAGAATTGATGAGGGAAAAAAGGTGAGTGATGCATTGAGGTATATGTGGAGTCAAAAAACGTTATCTATGGAGGCAAAGAAGGGAATGTATGAAAGTATAGTGGTACCAACACTCTTATATGGGTGTGAAGCTTGGGTGGTAAATGCAGCAGCGAGGAGATGGTTGGAGGCAGTCTAGATGTCCTGTTTAAGGGCAATGTGTGGTGTAAATATTATGCAGAAAATTCAGAGTGTGGAAATTAGGAAAAGGTGTGGAGTTAATAAAAGTATTAGTCAGAGGGCAGAAGAGGGGTTGTTGAGGTGGTTTGGTCATTTAGAGAGAATGGATCAAAGTAGAATGACATGGAAAGCATATAAATCTATAGGGGAAGGAAGGCGGGGTAGGGGTCGTCCTCGAAAGGGTAGGAGAGAGGGGGTAAAGGAGGTTTTGTGGGCAAGGGGCTTGGACTTCCAGCAAGCGTGCGTGAGCGTGTTAGATAGGAGTGAATGGAGATGAATGGTACTTGGGACCTGACGATCTGTTGGAGTGTGAGCAGGGTAATATTTAGTGAAGGGATTCAGGGAAACCGGTTATTTTCATATAGTTGGACTTGAGTCCTGGAAATGGGAAGTACAATGCCTGCACTTTAAAGGAGGGGTTTGGGATATTGGCAGTTTGGAGGAATATGTTGTGTATCTTTATATGTGTATGCTTCTAAACTGTTGTATTCTGAGCACCTCTGCAAAAACAGTGATAATGTGCGAGTGTGGTGAAAGTGTTGAATGATGATGAAAGTATTTTCTTTCTTTTTTGGGTCACCCTGCCTCGGTGGGAGACGGCCGACTTGTTGAAAAAAAAAAAAAAATTATTAATTATATTATGATTATTATTATTATTATTATTATTACTGTCATTGTAGTTGAGTTCATTTCATGTTTATCATTATGGACAAAAGTCAAGGAATGTCAGCAGTTTATTGATACAGTATACTGCCCTGTACTGTACCAGTAACTTAGATCAAGATTAGAAAAAGCTATACTTCAAGCTGATTAGAGTTTAAACTGTTAATAAGCACTATTTTAACATACCAGCCATCTCCCAATGAGGCAAGGTGACCTGAAAAAGGAAATGCTTTCACCATCATTCACTCCACTGCCTTGCCAGAGGCATGCAGAGACTCTCCAAACTGCAAATATCCCCACCCCTCCTTCAGAGTGCAGGCACTCTACTTCCCACCTACAGGGCTCAAGTATGGCTAACTAGTTTCTCTGAATCCCTTTACAAAATACTACCTTGCTCACACTCCAAGAGCTCATCAAGTCCCAAAAATTATTTACCCCACTCACTCCTTTTGCATGAGCTTTCTCAATAACATTCATATAAAAAACAAATCATACTACACAGAGGAGCTTTTTAAGAGCTGACTGTAATATAGTTTCCCACGAAATAACAATTTTAGAAACCATAACATATACCGTACTTTAAATAAAAAGGAATACCAATACAATTTGTAAAAAAAATTTTAGGGAAAGGCACTAACAGAATACCACAAGCCACAACACATAATAATTTTCCAGAGGTAGAGGCTGTGAGAACATGCATTTTGTAGATATAGGTACAGCAAAAATGTGTGCAAAATAGAGAAACAACTTAAACTTATTAAGGAGACAGATAAATTGTACATACTGAACCAACACTTGCCAAAGGAATATAATACAGGTAAGCAAAACAACCACTGTGAAAAAAATAGTGAAATTCTAAGAGAAAGCACTTGGAATTTCACTATTTTTCACAGTGGTTGTTTTGCATATTGTGGTATCACCTGTTTACTGTCATCTTATTGCATAATACAGGTAAACAATGTTTGGTATTGTGTAAAGGAAGCCCTAGGCTTATCAAGACTTCTAAAGCCAAGAGTTTGAAATACTCTGGGAAGCAAACCACAAGAGTGAACTCTGTTAATACCCTGGTATTTATTTACTGATACTGCTAGCTGAACAGGGACAGAGGACATAAGGAAAACAGAAATATCCCTGCCTTGGGAGGAGATGGCCAATGAGGGAAAAAAAAAAAAAAAAAAAAAAAAAAAAGGAAATGGACACACAAGATTTGCTGAAGATGAAGAACAAGTAGCCACAATTCTAAATAAAAAAAAAAAAGGCACATAAAAGATACTCGAAAATATTTCTTCACAACTAGTGATAGACAAGGTGGACAAAGACGGGATGTTCCAGAGAAGGGACACAGACACAAGAGGTCACAATTGGAAGTTGAAGACTCAGATGAATCAAAGGGATGTTAGGAAGTATTTCTTCAGTCACAGAGTGGTCAGGCCGTGGAATGGCCTAGAAAGTGAAGTAGTGGAGGCGGGAACCATACATAGTTTTAAGGCAAGGTATGATAAAGCTCATGGGGCAGGAAGAGAGAGGACCTAGTAGCAATCAGTGAAGAGGTGGGGCCAGGAGCTATGACTCGACCCCTGCAACCACAAATAGGTGAGTACAAATAGGTGAGTACAGCATGAATGATATCCAAGAGAAGATTGTTTAAATTACAATTACTGAAACGTATACATGTACAACAAAATATTCATGAAAACCAAGATGCCATGAATATAGTTCTTTTTCAATAAATAAAATAGGTACTGTAATTACAAGTAATGTAGAGAATTATACACAAAATATAAATTAGCCTTGTATTCAAAAGTTTATAATTATGGAAAAAGTTTAGTCAAATTTAGAAAACATTACTGTTATTTACAATGACTACACTTTGCAGTGATCAAAATCTGTAATCCTTACCGTACTCCATCCACCAGTTTGCCAGTTAGTGTTGTAGCTGTCATTATCAATGACCAGTGGATCATAATCTTGCACTACACTGTTACTCTCTTCTTCACTGCTGTGTTCATCCCAGTGGAGAGAGTTCTTATTTCTCTCTCTAACGTAATCGTCATGGTGACTTGTGGCATCCGACCGGACATTGGAGAAATCATTTCGGCTGTTTCTCTCCTTCTCGTCTAGGCTGCTTGGGAGAGCATTAGGGATCTCATTCGTTTCTTGCCCTGGGTTCATTCCAAAGTTTCCTCCTTGAATCCATGGCTCTCCTGGCCAGTCTCTATGCTGATGGGACTGTTTCCAAGATGTTAACCCACTGCTATATATGTCTCCGTCACTCTTGTGGTTATGGTAGGGAGCACCCAGAGTGTTGTGCTGGCTCTGCTGCCTCCCACTCTTACTCTAAAGGAGCAAGTTGTTGATGGCAAATACAAAAATTTAATAAAGTTTAGCACCCATCATAGATATACAAAGTACACACACACACACACCCAGATATGTATGTGTTTATGCATGTGTCCATGTGTGCACATGCATGCACATGCATGCACACACACATACACACACACATATGCACACACACACACACACACACACACACACACACACACACACACACACACACACACACACACACACACACAATATGCACTGTATGTGCATGCAGAGCCAGGAGCTCTAACATGACCACTGCAACCACATATAGGAGAGAACACACAAACACACTCATGCAATAGAGCCCTGACTTCCAACATTCTAACTTATGTCTCACATTTATGACAATGACATTTGAATTTGAATTACATACCAACAGGTGACTAGCACGTCCAACAACAGGGACTACTCATAAAACTTAAATTATGCAAAAACATCGCTTCCAAAGAGCAAGACAAGAGCATCAGTCAGGATAAATACTGTACCTAATTTATTGTTAAATTTTTACTTATATTATCTTATTGTTTAGCTAATATGAACATATTGCAGACATACTGTTTTGTTATACATCATGTGTGAATGAAAATATATTTTTTTTATTATTTTTTTTTTTTTTTTATTATCACACCGGCCGATTCCCACCAAGGCAGGGTGGCCCGAAAAAAGAAAAACTTTCACCATCATTCACTCCATCACTGTCTTGCCAGAAGGGTGCTTTACACTACAGTTTTTAAACTGCAACATTAACACCCCTCCTTCAGAGTGCAGGCACTGTACTTCCCATCTCCAGGACTCAAGTCCGGCCTGCCGGTTTCCCTGAATCCCTTCATAAATGTTACTTTGCTCACACTCCAACAGCACGTCAAGTATTAAAAACCATTTGTCTCCATTCACTCCTATCAAACACGCTCACGCATGCCTGCTGGAAGTCCAAGCCCCTCGCACACAAAACCTCCTTTACCCCCCCTCCAACCCTTCCTAGGCCGACCCCCACCCCGCCTTCCTTCCACTACAGACTGATACACTCTTGAAGTCATTCTGTTTCGCTCCATTCTCTCTACATGTCCGAACCACCTCAACAACCCTTCCTCAGCCCTCTGGACAACAGTTTTGGTAATCCCGCACCTCCTCCTAACTTCCAAACTACGAATTCTCTGCATTATATTCACACCACACATTGCCCTCAGACATGACATCTCCACTGCCTCCAGCCTTCTCCTCGCTGCAACATTCATCACCCACGCTTCACACCCATATAAGAGCGTTGGTAAAACTATACTCTCATACATTCCCCTCTTTGCCTCCAAGGACAAAGTTCTTTGTCTCCACAGACTCCTAAGTGCACCACTCACTCTTTTTCCCTCATCAATTCTATGATTCACCTCATCTTTCATAGACCCATCCGCTGACACGTCCACTCCCAAATATCTGAATACGTTCACCTCCTCCATACTCTCTCCCTCCAATCTGATATTCAATCTTTCATCACCTAATCTTTTTGTTATCCTCATAACCTTACTCTTTCCTGTATTCACCTTTAATTTTCTTCTTTTGCACACCCTACCAAATTCATCCACCAATCTCTGCAACTTCTCTTCAGAATCTCCCAAGAGCACAGTGTCATCAGCAAAGAGCAGCTGTGACAACTCCCACTTTGTGTGTGATTCTTTATCTTTTAACTCCACGCCTCTTGCAAGACCCTCGCATTTACTTCTCTTACAACCCCATCTATAAATATATTAAACAACCACGGTGACATCACACATCCTTGTCTAAGGCCTACTTTTACTGGGAAAAAATTCCCCTCTTTCCTACATACTCTAACTTGAGCCTCACTATCCTCGTAAAAACTCTTCACTGCTTTCAGTAACCTACCTCCTACACCATACACTTGCAACATCTGCCACATTGCCCCCCTATCCACCCTGTCATACGCCTTTTCCAAATCCATAAATGCCACAAAGACCTCTTTAGCCTTATCTAAATACTGTTCACTTATATGTTTCACTGTAAACACCTGGTCCACACACCCCCTACCTTTCCTAAAGCCTCCTTGTTCATCTGCTATCCTATTCTCCGTCTTACTCTTAATTCTTTCAATTATAACTCTACCATACACTTTACCAGGTACACTCAACAGACTTATCCCCCTATAATTTTTGCACTCTCTTTTATCCCCTTTGCCTTTATACAAAGGAACTATGCATGCTCTCTGCCAATCCCTAGGTACCTTACCCTCTTCCATACATTTATTAAATAATTGCACCAACCACTCCAAAACTATATCCCCACCTGCTTTTAACATTTCTATCTTTATCCATCAATCCCGGCTGCCTTACCCCCTTTCATTTTACCTACTGCCTCACGAACTTCCCCCACACTCACAACTGACTCTTCCTCACTCCTACAAGATGTTATTCCTCCTTGCCCTATACACGAAATCACAGCTTCCCTATCTTCATCAACATTTAACAATTCCTCAAAATATTCCTTCCATCTTCCCAATACCTCTAACTCTCCATTTAATAACTCTCCTCTCCTATTTTTAACTGACAAATCCATTTGTTCTCTAGGCTTTCTTAACTTGTTAATCTCACTCCAAAACTTTTTCTTATTTTCAACAAAATTTGTTGATAACATCTCACCCACTCTCTCATTTGCTCTCTTTTTACATTGCTTCACCACTCTCTTAACTTCTCTCTTTTTCTCCATATACTCTTCCCTCCTTGCATCACTTCTACTTTGTAAAAACTTCTCATATTAAGGTAAAAGAATAGGTAGAAATTCTTTCAAGATAAAATTAAGTGAAATTAAATACTGAATATTAGGACTCCTGACCACATTGTTTCTCATGGGGAAAACAGTTTCTGCAAAATGAACATTGATTTTTCAATAAGTTTTCAGTAATGTTTTTTTTTTCATAAATTGGGCCCCTAATGTATTCATATAACTCTGTACTGAAAAGCATGTGTAGTAACAATAACATGAAAATCTTATGCATCAGAAAAATTTGCACATTACCCAATCAAAATAGAAAATTGCTTGAAATTTGTTTTAAAAATATGCTACACTTGCTGTACTTAGTGTATATGAAATATCTATCATACATACAACAAAAAGGAAAAAAATTAAGCACTACAGCAACTGAAAAAAAAAATATTTGTTATATATGCACAAGCCAGTTCAGCAGTTTTCCACTACATTAAGGTTTGGCAGTTTTAAATATAATAATATTATTGTAACTACAGAAACCCATTGTAAACTTGCAAAGAAATAAAAATTGTATTGTACTTTTTGTATAAATAATATGTTAAAACCAATGACAACACTAATATTAATGGTAACTGGGAATCACTTCCACAACATATGGAACAAATTTCATATATAAATGCAAAACACCTGTGTTTTCTATGATTACATTACAACCCAATTTTAATATCTCAAAAGGCAAGTGAAATCCTGATGCTATAATTACCCTTGCCCTAAAGTTACTTGATCCTACACCTGACTTGTAGGTATCATGTGACTTTGGTTATGGGGTCTTCCTTTATATATGAGTTTTATCCTTGGAGCACTTTCTAGTCTGCTGAAGAGAGGCTCAATATGAGGCCAGAAAAACAGTACTTAGCTTCTGATTTCAAATTAAAATTTCCTATTTCTTTATGTGGCAATGTATAAAAATAATATAGCTTACATGTAATAAAACAGTGATAAGCACAAAAGAAAGCCACTAGTATGTAATGTAATTCAGGCAAAATAATCCTATTGCTTAAAGATCACTTAAGAATTAGACATAGACTATACAGGTGCTCCTCGACCTACGATGGGGTTATGCTCCAACAAACCCATCATAAGTTGAATATGAATATGATATGCTAAATAAATACAGCCTCTCCTCACTTAGCAACGTACTCATTTACCGACACCTCGGACTTATGACCGGCTCTCTGACCAGTATTTATACCTAAATAATGTATATTAGAGCTGATTTCCTCTATTCTGTTTATTTCAGTATACATTTAAAAATATACCAGAAATGTTATAAATGGTGCAAAGGTGACATTAAAACAATATCAAAGATGGCTGCCACAAACCCACTACCATTATAGTATGTTCCTCACTTAGTGATGAATTTATTTAACGACGTGGTCTTAGGAACAGAACTCTGTCTAAAGTGAGGAGAGGCTGTAAGTAAATAAATAACTACTGTCACTGAATAAGTAAATAAATAATCACTAACTAAATACCAGTACTGTACTAAAAAGTAAATAAATAAATACAAGTTAGGGAGTTGCCATCTTCATGCTGGGTAATTATCTCAATTTTCATTTCCATCGTAAAGTCAAAATATTGTAAGTAGAACCACTGTAAGTCAAGGAACACTTGTATATCCATGTGGAGTTTTGTACCTTTTGAATATTATATGATAAAATGGTGTAATCTATGCCACAGCAGAGATGCTGCCATTCCTATTCATTAGTCATTTTGAAACTGTTTTTGTCATTCCTATTCAACTTCAGGTCACACACTGAAGGTTCCAGAATAATCCCCACCAAGAGGTAAATGTTGGGCATGTTTCCTTACAGTTGTTGCTTCTATTTGCCTAGCAGTAAGTAGGTACCTGGGTCAACTGTTGTGGGTGACATCCTGGGGGACAAAATTAGCCTAATTGCCTGAAATTCTCTGCATAACATGGGGCTTTCTGTATAGCACGTCAATGAAGTCAGCTATGGTCTATATTAGTTGTATCACGTACTTGTAGAAATAAAGATTTGTTATTATTATTACTCTATTTTATTATTGCTGTTATTATCATCATCATCATCATCATCATTATCCTCTTCCTCATCCAACTAATAGGCCACTGACAAAAGCCTATTCTATTGGTTGGGAGAGTCAAATGAAATTTGTCTATTATAATTTTGGGAATGTGGCATCAACTAACAACAATACTGAGCACAGTTTACACAATATTTAAAAAACAAAATTCCTCTAGGACTGTTTATTAGATACAAATGGCCACAACAACTTTCCATTCAGACTAAATCAATAATAACTCCATACAACAGATTTTTAAAGGGTAGATCAGTTAGCCAGCAGAAGACCTCAATCAGATGACCAAAAGCTCCAGTGGTGGGTCATCATTTGATTAAGACCTGCACCAGGAAACATTTGTCCTATTTCTTGACAAATCTTACCTAACCTAACCTAATCTAACTATGGGCTCATAAGTCACTCACCCTACACTATCAAGTTCCACCTCAGTAACAGACACCAACAAATAACCATAATATATTCTTCTATCTAAGCAAATGTTGGTATTTTACTGTGATTAAACTATCAGTAAAGCGACTGCAGTAATAAAATGCCAATACATGTATTAGGATTTTACCATGGGTGTATATTCTGGGTCTGCTAGGAGATCACTGCACACCCTTGAAAGATGGCAAATTCATCATAAATGTTAAACTCACTCAATAATATATCAATCGATCATAAAGGAAAACTAATTTTTCTGTCCCCTGTTATGAAACATTGTGGTAGTTGTTCTGAGACAGCACTGCACATCCCACTGTGCTACCCCACAGTAGCACAATGCACACCCTGTGACAATAACCACCATACCCCCCCATAATGATGTAATTATTGCTCTACACAGGCAGCATCAAAGAGCACTGCCTAATCACTACTCCACAAGTACACTAATATCAAAGAACACTCCCTAAACATACTGTAAATACTGTTCTACAAGTACACTTAATATCAAAGAACCTACCTTGGTAAGAGAGAGCTGCTGCATTAAAAATAACTCAAGGAACACACATGATCTGAACCCATGGCAAACTAGTCATAAAATTAGAGGCCAGTGCTCTAAGCACCACCACACCATGCCAGCCAAATCATTTAGTTTGAATCCTGTCCAATCCAGGAATTGTTTACAACTGTGCAATGATTTTTGTGAGTTATTATACATATACGTACATATACGGGCCATGGAGAAAATTTCCGATCAGATGTCATAATTTCCACGTAAGAAAGACTACACCAAAATATAATACTGCCATGGCATCATTGTTAATGGTATGATAATACCAACAAACTGTGTTAAAGGATGCATGTGTACAGTTCAAAATACAATAAAAGTAAATGAGTTTGCCACAACTGGTTTGATCAGTCCTAATACAATGTAAGCTAAAACAGGCTACATACAATGGACAGCAGGAACGGATCTACCATGAAAGTAATAAAACTTAAGCTTCAGGGCCCCTAATCCCAGAGGGGCCCCAGAAGTGACTTCAGTCCACATTGCTTAAAATTTTTTATCTACTAAATGAGGAGGAGTTGCAAAGGGGCCCCATAACAGTTCAAGCTTCAAGGCCCCAAAAATGTAGGTCTGCCACTGGTGCACAGTACAGGTGGCCAGTATCAATACACTGTATTATGATTTTTTTTTTCCAACAAGTCGGCCGTCTCCCACCGAGGCAGGGTGACCCAAAAGAAAGAAAATCCCTAAAAAGAAAATACTTTCATCATCATTCAACACTTTCACCTCACTCACACATAATCACTGTTTTTGCAGAGGTGCTCAGAACACAACAGCTTAGAAGCACATACCTATAAAGATACACAACATATCCTTCCAAACTGCCAATATCCCAAACCCCTCCTTTAGAGTGCAGGCATTGTACTTCCCATTTCCAGGACTCAAGTCCGGCTATATAAAAATATATACATAGAAATATATACATATAAAAAATACACAATATATCCCTTCAAACTGCCAATATCCCAAACCCCTCCTTTAAAGTGGTTGTTTTGAAGTGTACACAAGTGACGTCTTCTTGCCATGGCATGTAGGAACATGTATGATTCATGTTGGATTTAATATACTGTAACTGAATTAGATCAGTTGTTAAAACTGTAGGTGTTTAATATTAGTCTGATGTTTCATCACAGACAGCATGCACTATGTACTTGTAAGTACAGCCTCTACTCACTTAGTGATGTACTCGTTTACCTATGCCTCGGACTTAGGACGGGTTCTCTGACTAGTATGCATGCCTAAATAATGTATATTAGAGCTAATTTTCCCTATTCTGTTTATTACAATATACAGTACACTACTGTATAAACATTTAAAAATATACCAGAAATGTTATAAATGGTGCAATGGTGACATTAAAACAATATCAAAGATAGCCGACACAAACCCATTACCATTATAGTATGCTCCTCACTTAGCAATGAATTCGTTTACTGACCTGGTCTTAGGATTGGAACTCCATTGTTAAGTGAGGAGAGGCTGTAATTACATTAGGACTTCATGCATGTTAGTTCAAGCCTAAATTCCCAGCTCACATCATTAGAAAACAGAAAGCTAGAAGCTGGACATTACCTTGATCAGTGGAGAGGAGTTATCAGCATGAGAGGACGTAACAGAAGAAGAGTTGGAAGATGTTAATGTAGATGAAGTAGGGTGAGTTTCAGTGGTGATTGGGATGGGTGGAGGAGGAGTTGTGGTAGTTGTGGTAGTTGTGGTTGTAGATGGGCATGGGATGTGGCAGGAAGTAGTTTCAGGAGGCTTGGTTTTGGCATCACAGTCACTGGGAGGGAGATTGTCTGCTGGCGCACCACAGTAGACGTGTCGTCGCTTCACTCCCGTCCCACAGATACGCAAGCTGTTTTCATCTCCTTCTCCTTCTCCACCTTTCACACTGACTCTCTCGTCGCTTGTTTTTCTCTCTGCCTGCAAGCTGCCCCCAACAGCAGCGATGCCGCCATGGCTCTCCAAGTCACACTAGAGAAATCCAAACTTATCACTGACACTGCCTCAACAAACACCTTCATATAGAAAGGATGTCACTATAACAGTAGCAATCTCAAACTGGAGTTGTCAGTGAAATGAAAGCTTATGGTATTAAAACCCTTTACCAGGCAGGCCACTATACTTATTGCCTAAGCAGGCCAGTAAGTATAGTGGCCTGCCTGGTAAAGTTATTAACAAATTATGGATGACTATGTTACATGTGACCATTAACCTTTCAATGGTCACATCACGAGAGGGATATGCATATTTTAATTTCAGTATGAAATGTCAAGTAGAGCACTTGGAGCATATGACTACATGCAAATAAATTATTTATAAACAAATGGAAAGATAGGTAGAAGTATTATACTGACCATTAAAGCATTTACTCTCAGCCTTCTATATTCTTATGCCTGGCACTTATGTTGCCTGACTGTATAACGATTATAAAATCTGATAAATGATTAGAGTATGAAAATTATCATTAGTCATGTAGAATATAATGTTAGTTTAAAACATATTATGCATGGTAATAGTGACAAGGGAATAAATATAATTAGTAACAGAAAAGTTTTTTTATGGTAGTCAGGGATTTGTTAACTAATCTGTACACTACTATAAATAATGTTGTTACATTGTTGATGAGAATGTTAAATACATACATGTTTAGATGGAGTTAATGTACAATATACATAGATACAACACTGAACTGAGTCAGCAGTCAGTCTAACTGTAATTGGTGGTGGCAGAGGCAATTATTTGCTCCTAGGTCCACTGATGTACAATAAAACCTAATGCATTGTGCACTAAGGCATACAGCAATGAGATTGCAATAGGAGTCTAACCAAACCACAGTATAGGTAGGGCTAGAACCCATGGCAAGTGGGAGTCATAAAACTCCAGGAGTTTTATGACTCACTCGTCATGGGTTCTAACCCCACCCGTACCATGTTTGTTTGCAATCGCATTATTACGATTTTGTGAGTCAATAGGAGTCTCGTTTTGAAGGTGTCAGCATAGGAAGTGAATATCCTATACAAAGCAATCTGGGAAAAGAGGCAGGAACAGGGGACCTGGTATATCAGTAGCTGGAAAAAGGAGACACTTTAAATAAACTCTGAGGAATATGTCTCTTTTGATATGTATATAATGAAAGCAGCAGCTTATATATGCATGGCAGAAGTGTAGACCTCAGTATGTATATACTCTTAAGAGTCTAATTTAATCCCTGTATCATAGCTTAAAGTATTCTTGAGTGGTGGTGTACAAGTGACACACAGCCTTCATAACCCTCATAGAGTTAATGGACTTTAAACCTAATAAACCAACCAACAAGGAAATGTATGATCCAGAAAGTGAGTCACAGAAACAACAAATGTAGCTAAAGATGAACCAATGGAAAACACAACTAGATGAGAAGACAAGACATTTATAGAAATGCCCAAAAATGAAAAGATAATGGAAACAATCAGATGTATATTTAGAGAAACCATAGAAGAAAATGAAAACAAAATATATTAAAGGGAGATCTTAAGACATGCAAAGAACCACATGAGGAATATGGTGGGGCCCAGGAATGAATGGATTGCCTAAGAGTAAGAAAAAAGGAAGGCACAGGAAGGTAAGGGATGATAAGGGAAGGTATGGGAAAGGACCAGGAACAAATAAGAGATCAGACCCATCAGGAAGAACACACTATACCTGAAAGACTAAAGAGTTCCAAAGCAGGATGGTCATAACTAATGGGAAAAAGAATAAAAACAGTGAGACATTCCTGAGAATACTGAAACCTTATTGGGATATCCCACACGGAATACAAACATCAGCAATAAGTTCTCACTAGATATTACTCAAGAGAGGTGCCCTGATGCAAGTGAAGGAAATTGAATTGTCTTGTCCTTCCCTGGCTCAAACCTCATTACCTCTCATTCTCCTGGTGCTGTATGACCCACACAGGTTTGGTGCTTCCCCAAGAATATGATGATAATAAATCTAAGAAGGCAGAAGCAGCTGGGAATATAGGAAATGAAAGTGTGAATATAACTAAGGAAGTGGTAAAAGAGAAAGCAGAGAAAGAGATATAGATGAATGATATAGAATAGGAAAATAAGAAATAAAAAATGTGTAATTTTTATCAAATATTACCGAGCAAAACAATATGGAAAGGTACACTGGTCAGGACAGCTCCCCTCAGGGAGGCGAGCAGGAAAATGAAAATCTAAACAGAGAAGGATATGAGCACTTAAGACAAATGAGGGCACACTAGAAAAGAGAAGGTACGATGGTAAAAGGAAAGGGGCAAGATGCCAAGAATGGGAGGTAATAGACAAAGAAAAAAAAAAAGATAAAAATAAAATGGAACCTTGAAGACTGGACCAAACATTAACCTCCTATGTAGGTCAGAGGAAAAGTAAGCAAAGTTGCATATTTTACAAGAAAAATAAAGTGGTAAGGGAAGTACAGACAGATCAGAACCCTTATTGCAAGGCTCTATGCACAAAGTTCTATACACAAATGCAGATATCAGCAATAAGGCAAGCAAATTAAGAAATGGGGAAATAATCTCAAAACAGACATACGAGTAAGCATGGAAACAGCAATAATAATGGATGAAATCTATCTAGGACAGGTCATTACTGTGGTGATCTCATGTTGTTTGTTTTTAAATGAAGTTAAAACTCAGCTGTTGTAGATTAGTTGAAGCTTAACCACATAATAGGTAATCATCTGACAGAGACCCAAGACAGGACACATCCATTCTTGATGAGCAAAATGCCATATCCATGAAAATACCATGTGACACTGTGAGAGGTGGAAATGAAGTTGTACTACTCAAGAACAACAGAGATCTTAGACTTGAAAGGATGTTTCTATTTTCACAGATTGTTACCACTGCCATTTGGCTACAGCCATTAAAAATCTTCCCTGCCAAGCTGTATAATGAACAATGATTAGTGAAGGAACAATATGGATCTAAAATAATTTTTCATAGGAAGTGTTGCATAAGTGTGACTTTGTAAATGACCCAAGTTGGACTGAAACATCGTTGTAAACTCCTCTCTCCTATGTGCAGGTTATTTGTGTACAGTGGTACCTTGACTTACGAGCTGAATTCGTTCCATGGCTGAGCTCATAACTCAATTTGCTCGTATATCAAACCAATTTTCCTAACTGAAATTAACTGAAATGCCATTAATCTGTTCCAGCCCCCCAAAAAAATATCCCAGGGGCAGGAGAAAATACCTCAATACATGTATAAAGCTATTATAAACTCTATGGCTTATTTATCTATCAGAATTGATCTAATATGACACAATAAATACTATAAGTAACACAGAAACATGATATATACTCTAGAATGAATAAAATAGGCCATAATATGGCGAGTGTCCAGGACCAGTCTAAGCACATAAAATTATTACTGCTCCTTCCTATAATGTGTTCTTTGGTTCTGGGCAAGAGAAAATGGAGTTTTAGAGAGGCTAACTGCACTAATTCAGTAGTGTAGTAATATACAGTGGACCCCCGCATAATGATTACCTCCGAATGCGACCAATTATGTAAGTGTATTTATGTAAGTGCGTTTGTACATGTATGTTTGGGGGTCTGAAATGGACTAATCTACTTCACAATATTCCTTATGGGAATAAATTCGGTCAGTACTGGCACCTGAACATACTTATGGAGTGAAAAAATATCGTTAACCGGGGGTCCACTGTATATGAATATCTCAAATGTAAGTTATTGACTTATTTCCTGAAGCCCACCATTTATTATTGAAGTAAATGTAATAATATTGACAGGAATCATAAGAAAAATGATTGTTCTACAATTGGCATGTGGAATATTGAAAATATTCCAAATATTTTGGGATTTGTGTGGGAGTAAAGAGCAAGATATTTTGCAAATGTCAAAAACTTACTAACTTTATTTTTTTGTAGAATAACTAAAGATAATTACATGATTACCTCCAGTGAGAACATCACACTAGCATTGTTTTATAAGTACAAAACCACCTTTCATTGTACCATTTAGGCTGGGGTCCTTGTCAAGTGTCATTTTCAATGATTTTTCTTTTCGCTCGTAACTCGGATTTTGGCTCGCAACTCAAAGCAAAAAATCAACAGAGCGACGGCTCGTAACTCGGAAAACTTGCAAGTTGGGGCACTCATAAGTCAAAGTACCACTGTATTGCTCATATGTCCAAGGCTCATCTATATAAAATGAGATTTAACTATTCTGACCAGGAATATATGTAGGTACAGTGGACCCCCGGTTTACGATCAGCTCCCAATGCGACCAATTATGTAAGTGTATTTATGTAAGTGCATTCGTATGTGTATGTTTGGGGGTCTGAAATGGACTAATCTAATTCACAATATTCCTTATGGGAACAAATTCGGTCAGTACTGGCACCTGAACATACTTCTGGAATGAAATAATATTGTAAACCAGGGGTCCACTGTACTTATCTCACAATTTTTTTACTGTTGCTATTAGGCTATGAGCACAGAAATTCATATCAAATGAACAACAGTAACAAGTACTAGGGACTGATCTCGCAATCCTCTCATGTGAGAATGCTGCTGTTGTTAACCATTAAACGGTCCAAACAGATCGATGTTCAAATTCGTAGTGCTACAAAAGTAGATCTACTTTTTGTTACATATTTTCAAATATAACAAAAAAAAAATGTAGATAAAAGTTTTTTACACGTTTTCAAATGTAAAACAAAAAAGAAGATCTACAATTTTTTACATACTTTCAGATGTTGAAAAAACGTATATATACGTTTGGACCGTTTAAGGGTTAATCAGCTATGAGTGTTAAAACTTGCCATAACCAGATCCTTTACTGAACAATGGTAAGGAGTACTAGACAACAATCTCCTGCCCCCTCCAACATGAGACTGATAATGGTGCTACTCTGTAATGAACATTAAAAATCATCTCAGCCAAGTCCTTTAGAGAACAAATATTGAGAAGAAAGAGACAGATGTGCAACAGCTGGGAATCATTATTGCACAATTATTTCATTCTTTATCTTGTCAGTTTTCAAAATCATTTTCATCACATCACAACTGTTGAGAAGATTTTGAACCAGTCTGCTATGAGTGGAAAGAGCAACACACTTGTGTTACACAGATTGCTGGATCAAACCCCAGTACTCCTTATGAGAATGTTACTTTCACAATATTGTAAAATATAGTCCATTGTATGTATATTCTATCCTAGAACATTTTACTTGCAATTTTGCCAACAATTCATCAATTTATAAAGTAATATCTATCTATCCATGATTTAAAATAAAGTAGAAAGACATATGTTGCAGAGCAAACCTTTCTTATGACATTTTACTCTGGATAGAGCTCTTGTGAAGCTCTATCCAAGAATAGATCCAGGAATTATCCAGGGAGTAGCCTATCTTTGCCTGTACTGGCAGGAGGTGATATAGTTTGCCAGAGGTGAGATTTCTTCTTATGAATTTGTGGATTTTAAATGTCAAGAAATGTTGATTTTTATAGTAGAGGTAATAATGTAATGAATAATACAATAATGAAAATCAAAAAAACATTTTTTTTTTGCAACATCTTTCTGAGTGGGTCAGGAAGAACCATCATTGCCTGTACTGAAGGGGTGATGATAGCACACTGGAAGTGAGCTTTTCTTTTCTATCAATTCACAGGTTTTAATTATTAAAAAATGATAATTTTTATAGTAATTTTTTGAATGATATTAGACAAGAAATGAACAGCTAAGTAAAAAAAATTCCATTGTCCCAAGAAGTAAAATACTTAAGAACAAGAAAAAATGTGTACTTAAAAAGTAATGATGATAAAGAATAATTACTGATGTACATCTGTATCAGATAATAAAACATTGTACATATACCAACATCCATTAAACTACCTTATAGATGAAAAATAACCTGCCACCATAGGGATTATAAAGGGTAAGGGGGGATGCCTTGAGATTAATAATGGGTTTGTGATCTGAGGAATTTGAGCTATATGAGACAAGAATAAATGCCATCGCTGTCAAAATTTGAGATAGTAAGTGAATTGATTCCTTAATGTTTCATTTGTTTGTGAGAATGTGTAGTTAATGTCTTCTGCATCTGTAAGTTGGACTCAGGGCCCCATAACAAAGCATGGCAACTTGAGTTTCATAACTCCAATCTCCTTTACGCTTGCATTTTTCTAGTGTTTGTACTTGGAACACATTCTTTTCTGTCACACAATGCTTCATATAACATGTATCAGTAACTGAGTATTACTTAGGAATACTGTCAAATCAAACTCACCCAGGAGCTCCATTCCTCAGCATGCCAACAAGAGCAGTTGCGCACCTCTACGGGTTTATCAAGCTCTGGACATTCCCAGGCTGGCAAGGCCCGGTCCCGCAGAGTGCACGAGAACAGACGCTTCTGCACACTCACAGTCTCTTCCCCTTTGCATGCGCACTGCACAAAAAAACATACGAGTCTTGACATATATTCCATAAAGTCTTCAAGGGCAGATGCCTTTACACTAGTGAACTGTAGTTATTGTCTTTGTCCTTGGATCAAATATGATTACTTCTCATTTGCCAAGCTCTGTACAGAACAATCTTGAATGTGTAGCACATTTCCGTGAATAATACATATCTTCTTCTTTCAACAAACCAACTGTATCCCACCAAGGCAGGGTGACCAAAAAAGAAAAACAAAAGTAATTTATACAGGAAAAGGGGTTACTAGTCCCTTTCTCCTGGCATTTTAGTTGCCTCTTATAACACTCATGGCTTACAGAGGAAGAATTCTGTTCCACTGTCCCATGGAGATCATGCTCTTTGTATCTGAAGAATATCAATAAATACAGCACTGAAATTACACTGTAAATTACAGTATTATTTACAAGCATGGCTTCCAGCTATGTGGGCAACAATTTAGCTCTTAAAAATCCAAAGAGGAGGCAACATCTCGGAACAAACATTGAATCATACTGAAATAATTTGTAACAAATGCTCATGCATGCTAATGATTGTCTTTGTGCTTGACAATATTTTGTTACATGTAAACTACACATTGTATTCTGTACAAAGAAATAAAAATTTTGATTTAATTTGATTTTGATTTTGATTTGAACAAGATCCAGAAAATTGCAACAATACTACATGCATTATAACAATAATGTAAACTTCCAGTATCATGTAAGGTAAATGAATTGAAAAAATAACTAAAATTATAAAATCATACTGTAATTTAAAGTCAGAAATAAAAAATCTGAAATAAAAAATAAAAAATCTTTAATCTTTAACTCAACATTCCTCATTAACCCTTTGACTGTTTCAGCCATATATACGTCTTATGAGCCAATGTTTTTGACGTATTAATACACGTAAATTCTAGGGGCTTCAAATCAAGCGGGAGAAAGCTGGTAGGCCCACATGTGAGAGACTGAATCTCCATGGTCAGTGTGTGCAGTATAAAACAAAAATTGGGGAGCCAGTGGTGCATTGTGGGAATGCCATTTCAGTAGTCCTTGTTCAGCATGCCTAGTGGTAAGAAATATCTGACTCCCAGGCGAATCTGGGACTCTTCTCTTCCCCAGTGATAGCTCTAACTGTTGTACCTTGGAGATAGGCCATCCTGTAATATTTAACTGTTGTCTGAGAATGTGACTATCACTTAATATTATAGCGCGAAAGTCTCCATTTATAGCTAAAACAGAGATTTTCAGCATTATATTATTATCTGTCAATATAAAAATATACCATGGAATTATTATTACTATTATTGTTATTATCGATATCGATGATTTTAGTTATTATTACTGTTAGGTAGAATTTGTTATATGCATATAGAACAAACAAAATGTCAGGAAACCATCAGGTAAACTGTTCACTTGTTTAAGTCTAGTTACTGAGGTTTGGATCATGTGATCCAACCTGATGATGGGTCAACAGATTGGCAGTGAAGCAGTCTGCTCCCTGATCTAGCCCTGACTACTGATCGTATATTTGTTCTCCCTTAGATTCACTCAGTTTTAATTTTCTTGACTTAAGAGTTGGCTCCTAGTTCATTCAGTATTGTTCTGAAGATTGATTTATTTATATTCTTGGGCATTTGAGTAATCTTTAGATATATGTCTTTCAGACAAATTCTGGCTGTCTGTCATCCTTATGACAGAATTCAGAGGTGTTGTTAAATTGTGTACATTTATGCAATTGGTTTTAAGACAGTCTTGTTGAGGTAAAGACTTCGATGTTTGTGAAGACTCAAATTGTAAAGTGTTAAAGATTAGTCTTCAATGCTAATGTGATATTTCCATGTGATTGAACTTTATATGTACACTTACCATCCAACTTACGACCTGCTCGACATACGACCATTCGACTTACGACCTTGTTTTCTATGCCAAATTTCTGGGAAATGAACAACTGTGTGTTGTACACAGTGTTTATCATAAACCTTACAGTATAAAATACAGTACTAACAGCATAAAAAGTAAAGTAAAAAATGAAATACCAAAATAAAACAATAAAAAAAAGTCATACAAAAATGTGATGTTGATATTCTGTAGTAAGGTTTGACTTACGTCCATTTTGACTTACGACCAGTTTCTCGGAACCGAACACGGTCGTAAGTCAGATGGTACCTGTACATATTTTGTAAATTCATTACTTAAAGTTTCCTTAAAATAAAACTATTGTACATACAATATTAAGCTATAATATTATGTATGAAGAGAAGACAAAGTATTGTATTCAAATACTTTAAAATTAAACATAATAAGATTTTAATATTATTGGATTGAGTTTCCTAGTAGAAATAACCCCTAGACTCTAAAAATATATTAAACTAGCTTTTGATCCAATACCTTGTTGCCTGAGAGGGGTAATATTTGAAATAGGCCAAATTCTGAAGTTCTTTATAAACTTCCTAGGAATAAAAATTCCTCTAAACCCCTTACTCACAACACTAACACAGATGGAAGTGTCTCTGAAGACGAATTTCATGCTTTTGAGGAGTTTGTGACCGAAAGCAATGCCCAAGATACCAGAAGGAAGGAAGAAAGGAAGGCATGGGACCCCATGGGTGTTGACAGGCAGTAAGGGTAGTGAGTGATGGTATAATTTGTCATTTTGACAGCAGCCACTCCCTGACTCAGCATATTTAGAAGTCTTCCCCCCCCCCCCACACACACAACACCAAGCTTCCAGATGTTAACAGCAGTTGTAGGAAAGTGTCCAGTGACTACATATGTGTATATATATTAAAGAACAATAGTAATAAAAAATTTTGTATTGCTGGTTTGTGTAAACAAGTTTTGTAAAAATATAATGATAATAATGCTTGTGCGATTATTGTGTTGCATACAATGAGTGTATATATGTCCATTGCACCTTAATTTGGTCTCTCAGGCCACATAAGTTACTTGGAAAAAAAAAATTGGAAAATACAAGACACCTTCGTATGGGAGTAAATATAAGTGTACCAGGCGAGCGGCATTCGTTGCTGTTGCCATACACGGCTCATTTTCTGCCAACTTTATGCCTCTGTATCTCAGTAGGTACTTATTGCAAAAAAATTGTTTAGGCTTACAACATTCAGCAAATTAATCCTAACATTTTGGTAAGAAAACAATTTTTTTTTTTTTTTGAATATTTTGCAATACAGGGAAACAGTTTCAGAATTGGGGTTGACAGTCAAAGGGTTAATATAGAACACATGACAGTACAAACAAAACAAAGTTTATTTCCTTGCACGGTTACCTTGAGATTAAGAAATTATGAATACTAAAGCCTCTTCTGTAATCCTTAGATAAAGTGGATCGGATGTTGTAATAAAGTTGGTAGAATTACCGACAATATGTAAAGTAAAAGGACACAAGTGCAACTAAAGTGACATTTATTGTGGCAACGTTTCACTCTCCAGGAGCTTTATCAAGCTTGATAAAGCTCCTGGAGAGCGAAATGTTGCCACAATAAATGTCACTTTAGGATCGGATGTTGCTGAGACTTTCCCAAACAAAGATTTTTACAAACTATGAAAATTAGTGATTAAGTTATTAGTAATAAGTAAGCAAGTTATTTATTTAGACTTCTTTCTTTCAACAAACCGGCCATATCCCACCAAGGCAGGATGGCCCAAAAAGAAAAACAAAAGTTTCTCTTTTAAATTTAGTAATTTATACGAGAGAAGGGGTTACTAGCCCCTTGCTCCCGGTATTTTAATCACCTCTTACAACACGCATGGCTTACGGAGGAAGAATTGTGATCCACTTCCCCATGGAGATAAGAGGAAACAAACAAGAACTAGAAAGAAAATAGAATACCCAGAGGGGTGTGTATATATATGCTTGAACATGTACGTGTAGTGTGACCTAAGTGCAAGTAGAAGTAGCAAGACATACCTGAAATCTTGCATGTTTATGAGACAGACAAAAGACACCAGCAATCCTACCATCATGTAAAACAATTACAGGCTTTTCGTTGTACACTCTCCTGGCAGAACGGTAGTACCTCCCTGGGTGGTTGCTGTTTACCAACCTACTTCCTAGGATTTATTTAGACACAGGTATATATAAGTACAATTATCATAGCGTAAATTACCTAGGATAACGCAAGAAAGTCAGAGACTATTTCTATGGAAGTTATTAAAACATAATACTCAATGGACCATAAGTAAAGTTTTTAAAATAGTAAACAAAACATTGTAAAAAATTCTCATAATTAAAGGACAGGTATATATTTTTTTATGTTAAAAATGTTTATATTTTCTGTCAAGCTGCTTTCTTATTTTTGAAAATGCTCACCAGTGACCAGTCCTGGTAAAGTATGCATTGCATGATGTGATTCATGTTATAATACTAACCGAAGTCCAGCCAGAGTAGCTCCATGATGGACACTCTTCACGAAGACAGTCATTTTTTGTATACAGTTGGTCGGCTTCACAACGCTCCATCTCCACACTAATTCCCAGGCTGGAAACACACCCAACCACTTTACGCTGCCTCGTGCAAATCTCACCCCTCAGCTCACACTGCAAAAATAAGTTAGTTACCTTGGTATTTTTTTTTAACTCACTGGGCATCTCCCACTAAGGCAGGGTGACTCAGAAAAGAAGATATGAAAGTTTTTATTCTTTTTACATTTAGTAAATGATACATGAGAAGGGTTACTAGCCCCTTGCTCTCGGCATTTTAGTCGCCTCTTACGACATGCATGGCTTACAGAGGAAGAATTCTTTTCCACTGCCCCATGGAGATGCTGGTATTTATGTTAATAAACATCAATCTAAGTCTACTAGCATGATGAAAAACGTAATGTAAATTTATGCAAATAGTATAATAATTTTACCCATTTTCTCTATAATAAAAGATTTTGAAAAAATGCAAAACTTATTTTTGCATGATGGTCTGATGACTCACTAGAGACAACTACAGTAACCCCCGTATCCAATGATTCGGTATCTGCGATTTCAGTTATTTACAGTTTACTGTGGCACAGAAATACCTCTTAATTCTGCATAATAATGGCCCCAAAGTGCATAAGTACAGAAGATGGCAGTTCTTCAAAGCCTAAGAGAAGGCATGAAGTACTTCCCATAAATGAAAAAGTGATAATTCTCCAGTTATTGTGCCTAATTTATCAATCAGACTTTATAATAGGTATGTACAGGACTTATATATAGGGTTTGGTATTATCCATGGTTTCAGTATCCATGGTAGGTCCTTGGAACATATCCCCCACAATACAGAGGTACTACTGTATTGCACTAATATGTACTGCATTTACCCTAAATGCTCTGCATAAACATGGGCTTTCCACATATACTATTAAATGTCATCCAGTTTTGTAAAACTATGTACAGCATTATGTGGAAATAAAATACTGTACAGCCTCTCCTCACTTAGCGACATCCTCATTTACCGATAACTCGAACTTACGATGGGCTTTCTGACCAGTATGCATACCTAAATAATGTATAATAGAGCTGATTTCCTCTATTCTTTTTATTGCAATATACAGTACACTACTGTATAAACATTTAAAAATACATGTATACTAAAAATGTTACAAATGGTGTTGAGACCCCTCAATGATCCTCAACTCTGTATCTCAAAAAAAAAAAAAAAAAAAAAAAAAAAAAAATCTTATGAAATGATAATCTTTTCCTGATGGTAATGACACCAAAAGTACTTACAAAATTACGCTCTCGCAAAGTTAGTGATCTTGGCGATATACACGCATCAGCGATTTTGCTCACTTTGAGCCCTATTTTCGGCCAAATCCAGTGTTCCAGTCGACTAAATTCATAGCTATTTTGCTAGAACTCTATTTGTTCTATTGATTGAGAACAAGAAACCACCCATTTACCGATATCAACTACCCAATAAAGTCGTCAGAAATTGGCAATTTGGCCAATTTCACACAATTTTGAAAAGATGCCAATTTCAAAATAGGGTCCAGAATAAACAAGGCAGACATTCCTGGCACTAAAATAGCATTGTCTCTGTTCATTAGTCACATCTCCAGGCCCCTCTTATATTACTCTTGCCTTCCATTTTTAATTTTTATTCTCACAAAAAAATAAAAGATTTACTGTTATGCAAACAACTGTATTATAGTTGTACTTTAGCTCATTCTAGCTCAATACATAGACAACACCAAATTCATTATATTAGACCTTCGTGTAATTACAAGTGAGAGTCTGGTGCTATTTTTAATTTGTATTTTAATATTTTTAGTTTATATTTAGCTGTACTTTAGCTCATTCTAGCACAACACATAGACAATACATGTATCAATTTCATTATGTTTATTAGTGACTATACTCTATATGACCAAAGTGCTTTAGCTATAAACTTGTCCAAACTTCCCACTACTACAGATATCAGTATTAGAACTCACCACACAATACAGGATATAAATAACCACTATTTAAACCTAGAAGATCAATGATCACGTCGACCCTGATATAAACCTCCACAATATAACACCCAATCAAAACCTACTGGGAAGTAACTGCCTTTATTACACAGCATCACAAGCCAGAACTATCCTAAACAGTGCTAAAGTTCTTAACTACAACATCAGGTCCTTAAGCAAACACTATGATGACTTCCTGGCACTCCTTGAGTCGCTAAAGACACCCTTCTCCTGCATTATTCTTACTGAGACCTGGCTTAAGCAGGACACAATAGATATCTACCCACTACCAGGATACACAACAGTCCACAACTGCAGACCATACCAAGTTGGGGGTGGTATTGCAATCTATTACTCCAACAAACTATCTTGTATTAGCACCACTTGCTTTAGTGATGAATATGGGGAATACATTTTTGCTAATTTTACTGTAAAAAACCTTAAGACACCTATAACAATCAGTGCCATTTACCGGATACCCCACCCAAACATCCCAAATTTCAATGAGAAATTAAAGGCACTAATAACAAACAGACAAATGAACAAGCACCACCTTCTCTTAGCTGGAGACTTCAATATCAACCTTGGCCTACTAGATGATCAGCCAGTAACTGATTTCATCAACAATATGAACAACACACTTCTCATACCAACAATAACTAAACCAACCAGGCTGACTGAGACAAGTGCAACCATAATAGACCACATATGGACAAATATACTAGCCCCCCTTAAATCAGGGATAATCACAGACCACTACCCTACCTTCCTCTTAACAAATATTAGTAAACCACCACTGGAATACAACAAAGTTTCATTTAGACTCCATGACGAGGCCTCAATAAGGAAGTGCACAGCAGACCTAGAGACTGTTGACTTGCCTACAGAATTCTCCAAGGCCAATGGTATTGATGATTGGACAGACATTTTTCTTAACAAATTACTTAGACTATACAACAAACAATGTCCTATAAAAACAAAACAGATCACGAATAAATGGCTCGGTTGCCCATGGCTAACCAGCAGCATTCTGAAATCCACTGATAAGAAACACCAATATGAAAAGCAATATAGACAGGGCTTAATACACAAAGATATTCTTAAACACTATTCATCAGTTCTCACCAAAGTAATAAAGAAAGCCAAACAACTGTACGACTCCAGCAGATTCACTGACACAAGAGGAGATATAAAAAAGACCTGGAAAACACTCTCTCAGATTCTGGGCACCCACAAACTGAAAAAAGCCAAGAATATTGTCCTAACTAAACCTAACGAAACACCACTGCATCCCACTGAAACAGCTAACAAGATAAACAACTTTTTCTCAACCATAGGGTCTAATCTTGCCAGTAAAATCCCGTGTACGAACACCCATGCCAGGGACTATCTAGATGGGAATTTCCCAAATTCCTTCTATCTTGTACCAACTGAGCCCACCGAAGTCACTGAGATTATAAAGTCACTTAAAAATAACTCAGGGAACCTGTCTCATGTCCCACCATTATTGTACAAGCGAGCGGCCCATGTCCTTTCACATGCTATTTCATTACTTTTTAACAAGTCACTAGAAACTAGCACCTTCCCAAAATTACTCAAGACAGCAAGGATTACACCTATACATAAAGGTGGTGACCATACAGATGTAAACAACTATAGGCCAATATCAAACTTACCATTGCTATCCAAAATCTTCGAGAAACTTGTGCACAGGAGACTGTATTCATTTATAAGGGCACAAAACATACTCAACCCCTGCCAATTTGGATTCAGGAAAAATAAAAGCACTAATGATGCAACTGTAAAAATGCTAGATCTGCTTTACAGAGCATTGGAAAATAAGGAATATCCACTAGGAATTTTTACTGACCTAAGAAAAGCTTTTGACACAGTAGACCACGGCATCCTACTCCACAAACTTGACCATTATGGTATAAGAGGCCACGAGCTTGCATATTTCAAATCCTACCTTACTAATAGGTATCAGTATGTCACCATTAAAGACACAGCATCATCAACACGGCCACTTGATACTGGAATTCCACAGGGAAGTGTCCTTGGACCCCTGCTCTTCCTCATTTACATCAATGATCTTTCAAACGTATCCCAACACCTGAAACCCATTCTCTTTGCTGAGAACACGACTTATGTCATCTCTCACCCTAATCTTGCCACCCTCAACACCATTGTTAATGAGGAGCTGCTCAAAATATCAACTTAGTTGACAGCCAATAAACTTACACTTAACACTGACAAAACCTACTATATTATGTTTGGTAACAGAGCAGGTGTTGCACAACTAAACATTAAGATCGACAACACTCTAATTGCCAGACATAATGAGGGCAAATTTCTAGGCCTATACCTCGACAACAACCTGAATTTCAGCACCCATATCCAACACATATCAAAAAAACTATCCAAAACAGTTGGGATCCTCTCCAAGATACGATACTACGTGCCACAAAATGCCCTTCTCACACTATAACATTCACTCATTTATCCATACCTCACCTATGCTATTTGTGCTTGGAGATCAACTGCAGCAATACACCTAAAGCCGATAATTCAACAAAAAGCCGCAGTAAGAATAATCACTAAATCCCATCCCTGGCAACACCCCCCCCACTCTTCATAGATCTAAACTTACTCCCTGTTCAGAACATCCACACTTACTACTGTGCAATCTATATATACAGGACCTTAAATTCCAATATTAACCTTGACCTAAAATGCTTTCTTGATACTTGTGACAGGACCCACAAGCATAACACCAGACACAAACATCTCTACGACATTCCCCATGTCCGACTAAACCTATACAAAAATTCAATGTATGTCAAAGGCCCTAAAATCTGGAACACCCTACCTGAAAACTCTGGAACTGCAGACACAATCATCACCTTCAAAACTACCATTAGAAAACATCTTATCTCCCTGATACACCCCCATCAACTAACTACATAAAAACCACCTGGTGGTTCACACTTACACTCACTCGCTCACCCATTTGACTTTAAGCACAGAAATACGTATCTTAATCTTAAAATAATAATTCCTAACTAGTCACAAGTTTGCCTGTGATACTCCAATATAGAAATGATATATTGTGCCAAAACAAAAGCATTCACATTGCTAAACTCACAAACTAGTATTTAGTCACTTAGTATTTAGTCAATTTACTCCACAATTTGTAATAATTTAGGGTTAAGAATTAATCTAAGTTTGCCTGAAATGCCTAGCCTTGCTAGGTGTTCTAGTGGCCCCCTCTGTAATTAGTATTTTATTACATGTAAACCACACAATAACCAAAATCTGTAAACCCCGCATTGTAATCCTTATAGAGAATAAACTTTGATTTAATTTGATTTGAGTTAATTATAATAATTGTATGAATAATGTCAACCCATTCATGACTGCTTATTAGATTGGCCAGATGGACATGTACTGGACAGTGACATCATTTGTTTACTCTTGAACATCTGCAAAAATTGAACATTTTCGCTAGTTTGAGCTCAATTTCAAATAACTTTTCATCGTGAAACCAATCAAAATCATCTCCATTTCTGTGATATATATTCCACTCTATCAAGCGAGACCAAGAAAACAAGAATGCAACCATAAATACCATACGAAAATTCACAGCAAATTTGCTGTTTTAAGCCATAAACATGTTTTTTTTTTCATTATGCACTGCGTGCTGCTGGATTTTTTGTACTGAACACACTTACCACACAGACCCATTCTTTCATATATAGGCTTACCATCTTTCTTCCACCAGATTTGAAGGAGCTAGAATTTTGGAGTAGTATTACGGGACCAACACTGGCTCTCAAGCCGTAATATTACAGGTGCTACACTGAAAGGGTTAAAAGAATATCGAAGATGGTTGACACAAACCCACTACTATTATAGTATGCTCCTTGCTTAGTGACTAATTCATTTACTGATGTGGTCTTAGGAACAGAACTCTGTTGTTAAGTGAGGAGAGGCTGTATTCTTTACTGCTGTACTGTATAAGACAACTGAATTAAAACTTACCTTTGACCAATCATTGTACTTCCAGGAGACTGGACAAGTATGAATACAGGACCCCTCCTGTGTCGCTGGTTTATGATGCAGGGAACACAGGTTGTCCTTCACCTGCACACCTGTGTCTGTCCGTACACAGTACGCAGTTCGCTTACGTTTACCTGCATCAAAAATGCATTAGTATATAATAGTTTTATGTGAGAATTAGGTAAAATCTTCTGATTATTTAAAGTAGGTTTATCTGATTAGTGACCAGGATACTGCACTTCGTAAAAAGTTTCACTGAATTTAATGGCTTATATGTTACAGCTACATATATGGGCATACCTCACTAATACGGCAGGATAGGTCTCAGGCCGCTGCTGAAAAGCGAATATCGCCTTAAAAGCAAGTCACAGCCTTTTTTCACTTGCCAGTGCATATAAGAGCCCAAAAACATATTTAAACTATCATTTATTAAGTGCACAAATGCACTAGGCTTAAAAAGAAGATACAAAAAATAAAAAGAATAAATAATTTTTTTTTTGACAATTGCCAAAAACCATTTTAAGAGCAAGGCAAATGCCAAAAATAATAAACATGAATATAACTGAAAAGTGCTGTATTAGTGAAGCACTCTAAAGTGAGTGCTGTATTAACAACAAATGCCTGTACGTGCCCACATCAACTATGTTCTCTCAGAATTGTTGTAAATATTTATAATTCTGTCTGTAAAACCAACTGCAAACTGTCCTGAATAGAACTTTTTCTTTGTACCATGCCGGTTGTCCCACCAAAAAAAAAGGGAATCATATTCACAATCTTTCACTCAATAGCTGTTTTGGCAGAAGTCCACAGATATCACAAATGGCTCTATGAAGTGCAGCATCTCTACCCTTTCAGAGTGCAAGTACTATACTGTATTTCCCTCCTCAAGAACTCAAGTCCAGCTAACCAGTTTTCCTGAATCTTTTCATAAATGTTATCTTGCTCACACTCTAACGATAGGTTACGTTATAAAAAAAAAAAAAACTTGTCTCCACTCCATCCAATCAGACACTCACACAAGCCTGCTGGATGCTCAAGCCCCTAGCACTCAAAGCCTCCTTCACACCTTCCCTCCAACCAATCCTGGAACAACCCCTACCTTCTCCTTCCTTCCACCCCAGATTTATACAACCTCTTAGTCATCCTAATCTGCTCCAGCCTCTTTAAAGGCCCAAACCACCTCAGCACAACCTATTTTTACTGGTGGGTCCCGCTCACCTGTGATGTGACTGCAGCTGCTGCACCTCATCTCTCTTCAATACACAAGAGTTCATCTTCCTGTCTATGCTTCAGATTCATCCAGACTCAGGTACTGAACACCAGCTTCCAGGCTACCTGGGGGGTGTTCTGGGGGTCAATGCCCCCACGGCCCAGTCCATGACCAGGCCTCCTGGTGGATCAGGGCCTGATCAACGAGGCTATTACTACAGGCTGCACGCAATCCAACATATGAACCAAAGTCCAACCGGTCAGGTACTGACTTTAGGTGTCTATCCAGTTCCCTCTTGAAGACAATCTAAGGTTTATTGGTAATCCCTCTTATGTATGCTGGGAGAATGTTGAACTGTCTTGGGCCCCTGATACTTATTGTGTTATCTCTTGAAGCTTAACTAACTCATCAAGTACTGTCCTCATATATCATCTCTGTATTGAACTGATGATGATAATAATAATCTTTATTTCTACAAGTGCATGTACAATGTATACAGACCATAGCTGACATCAGTGACATACTACTATATAGAAAGTTCCTTGTTATGCAGAGCATTCTGGGCAAATTAGGTAAATTTTGCCCCCAGGATGCAATCCACACCAGCTGACTAACACCCAGGTACCTATTTTACTGATAGGTGAACAAGGACAGTAGGTGTCTTAAGGAAACACATCCTAATGTCTCCACCCATACCAGGGATCAAACCACAGACCTAAGTGTGTGAGCTGAGTGTGCTACCAACTGAGCCACTGGTTAGTGTTTGTGATGCTAACTGCACTAGATCACTAGTTTCATAAGAAAAACACTGAAACAAAAGCGATTTTCTCGTGTTTTTCTATGAATTCATGCTTTAATTCAATGGACATCATCCTCCTCTCCTTCTCAGCACTGTCCTTTCCACTTACTTTCTTAGGATCCGTGGTTAGAAAAAATTAATTTGGCAAAATAACTGCACAAAAAGCACAAAACGCTGGGATGCTGGGCAGATGTCGTGGCGTTCACTGCGCCAATTAGTGGTGGCATATCTGAAGTTCACTCAAAACTCAGATTTTGGCTCTCAACTCAAAGCAAAAAAAACTGAGTGACGGCTCGTAACTCGGAAAACTCTTAAGTTGGTGCACTCATAAGTCAAGTTACCACTGTATACTATCTTTGTACAGCATACAAATAAATATAAATTAGCTACCTTTTCTTACTGTGTACATAATATGAGTTAACCCTTTGACTGTTTTGGTCGTATATATACGTCTTACGAGCTACCGCTTTGACGTATACATACTCATAAATTCTAGCGGCTTCAAATCAAGCAGGAGAAAGCTGGAAGGCCCACATGTGAGAGAATAGGGCTGTGTGGTCTGTGTGTACCATATAAAAAAAAATCCTGCAGCACGCAGTGCATGAGAAAAAAAAATGACCGCTTTTTTAATTAAAATGCCGACTTTGTGGTCTATTTTCGTATAGTATTTATGGTTGTATTCTCAGTTTCTTGGTCTCATTTGATAGAATAGAAAACATACTATAGAAATAGAGGTAATTTTGATTGATTTTACTATGAAAAGAACCTTGAAATGGAGCTCAAAGTAGGGGAAATGTTTAATTTCTGCCAATGTTCAAAAGTAAACAAATGATGTCATTTTCCAATAAATGTCCAAGTAGCCATTCTAATATGCAGTCATGAATGGGTTGACATTATTTATACAATTATTACAATATTGCAGTAGTCTGCATAACAGTAAATCTTGTATTTTTTGTTTGAATAAAAATTAAAAAATAGAAAGCAAGAGTAATATCAGAGGGGCCTGGAGATGTGAGTGATGAACAAAGAAAATGTTATTTTAGAGCCAGGAATGTCTGCATTGTTCATTCTGGACCCTATTTTGAAACTCATATTTTTTAATTTTCATGAAATTGGCCAAATTGCAAATTTCTGACCACATTATTGGGTAGTTGAAATCGGTAAATGGGCAGTTTCTTGTACTCAGTCGATAGAAAAAAATGGAGTTCTAAAGAAATAGCTATGAGTTTGGTCGACTGGAACAATGGAATTAGCTGAAAATAGGGCTCAAAGTGGGCGAAATCGCAGATTCGTATATATTGTCAAGGTCGCTAACTTAGCGAGAGCGTAATTCCATCAGTTTTCCATCACATTTCGTTCGTTCTTTTGGTGTCATTACAATCGGGAAAAGATTCTCTATCATTTCATAAGAAACAATAATTATTTTTTTTTTTTTTTGAAATTTTGCGACACCAGGAGACACCTCAGGACTTGGGGTTGTGACAGTCAAGGGGTTAACTATGTAAGAAATCCTACTTAACTGGGATCACTGAATCAGTCTGAAATACAGTGGTACCTCAGGATACGAACAGCTCAGAACTTCAACAATTATGTAAGTGTATTTATGTAAGTGCTTTTGTAAGTGCATTTTTTGAGGTCTGAAATAGATTAATCTAATTTACATTATTCCTTATGGGAACAAATTCGTTCGGTATCAGCACTCGAACAGCCTTCTGGAACGAATTTCTCTAGTACAGTGGACCCCCGCATAACGATGGCATCACATAGCGATTAATCCGCATACCGCTTGCTTTAATCGCAAAAATTTTGCCGCGCATACCGATTAAAAACCCGCTCACCGATTTTCGTCCGAGACGCGTCCAATGTGCGCCCTCAGCCAGCCTCACATGTGCCGCCCGTGCCATTGTTTACCAGCCAGCCTCCGCGGTAACATCCAAGCATACACTCGGAATATTTCGTATTATTACAGTGTTTTCGGTGCTGTTTCTGGAAAATAAGTGACCATGGGCCCCAAGAAAGCTTCTAGTGCCAACCGTACACCAATAAGGGTGAGAATTCCAATAGAAATAAAGAAAGAGATCATTGATAAGTATGAAAGTGGAGTGCGTATCGCCGACCTAGTCAAGTTGTACAAGAAACCCAATCAACCATCGCTACTATTGTGGGCACCAGAAAGACAATCAAGGAAGCTGTTCTTGCCAAAGGTTTAACTGTGTTTTCGAAACAAAGATCGCAAGTGATGGAAGATGTTGAGAGACTCTTATTGGTGTGGATAAATGAAAAACAGCTAGCAGGAGATAGCGTCTCTCAAGCGATCATATGTGAAAAGGCTAGGAAGTTGCATGAGGATTTAATTAAAAAAATGCCTGCAACTAGTGATGATGTGAGTGAATTTAAGGCCAGCAAAGGTTGGTTTGAGAGATTTAAGAAGCGTAGTGGCATCCATAGTGTGATAAGGCATGGTGAGGCTGCCAGTTCGGACCACAAAGCGGCTGAAAAATATGTGCAGGAATTCAAGGAGTACATAGACAGTGAAGGACTGAAACCTGAACAAGTGTTTAATTGTGATGAAACAGGCCTGTTCTGGAAGAAAATGCCAAGCAGGACCTACATTACTCAGGAGGAAAGGCACTCCCAGGACATAAGCCTATGAAAGACAGGCTTACTTTGTTGATGTGTGCCAATGTAGTGGTGATTGCAAAGTTAAGCCTTTATTAGTGTATCACTCTGAAACTCCCAGAGCGCTCAGGCAAAAGAATGTCCTCAAGGATAATTTGTGTGTGCTGTGGAGGGGAAACAGTAAGGCATGGTCACTAGGGACTTTTTCTATAACTGGTTACACCATGCATTTGCCCCCAATGTGAAAGATTACCTAACTGAAAAGAAATTAGACCTTAAGTGCCTCCTGGTGTTAGACAATGCCCTGGTCATCCTACAGACGTGGCAGAGCGACTTTATGGGACATGAGCTTCATTAAGGTGAAGTTTTTGCCTCCTAATACCACTCCTCTCCTGCAGCCCATGGACCAGCAGGTTATTGCAAACTTCAAAAAACTGTACACAAAAGCTCTGTTTGAAAGGTGCTTTGTAGTGACCTCAGAAACTCAACTGACTCTAAGAGAGTTTTGGAGAGAGCACTTTAATATCCTCAATTGTGTAAACCTTATAGGTAAGGCTTGGGAGGGAGTGACTAAGAAGACCTTGAACTCTGCTTGGAAGAAACTGTGGCCAGAATGTGTAGACAAAAGGGATTTTGAAGGGTTTGAGGCTAACCTGAGAGGATTATTCCAGTTGAGAATCCATTGTGGCATTGGGAAAGTCCTTGGGGTTGGAGGTTAGTGGGGAGGATGTGGAAGAGTTGGTGGAGGAGGACAATGAAGAACTAACCACTGATGAGCTGATAGATCAACTTCAACAGCAAGAGGCCAGACTGAGGAAACTGGTTCAGAGGAGGGGAGAGAGAAATTGAAGAAGTTGCCTACTACAAAGATAAAGGAAATCTGTGCAAAGTGGCTTGAAGTGCAAACCTTCATGGATGAAAATCACCCTCACACAGCTATTGCAAGCCGTGCTGGTGATTATTACACTGACAATGTTGTGAAACACTTTAGGGAAGTGATAAAGGAACGAGAGGTACAGGCCACTATGGACAGATATGTTGTGCGAAAGAAGTCCAGTGACTCTGAAGCTGGTCCTAGTGGCATTAAAAGGAAGAAGGGAAGTAACCCAGAAAAGGACTTGCCACCTCAAGTCTTAATGGAAGGGGATTCCCCCTTTTAAAACACTAACACTCTCTCTCCCCTCCTCCCATCCCATCAATCATCACCAGATCTTCAATAAAAGTAAGTGTCATGTAAGTGTGCATGCCTTTTTCAGTTTGTGTGTATTAAAATTAACATTTCATGTGGTAAAAAAAATTTTTTTTCATACTTTTGGGTGTCTTGCACGGATTAATTTTATTTCCATTATTTCTTATGGGGAAAATTCATTCAGATAGCGATTATTTCGCATAACAATTACCCCTCTTGCACGGATTAAAATCGTTATGCGGGGGTCCACTGTATTAAGTAGTCTGTAGCCATTAATTTAGTCTGCCCATAATTGCCATGGCATGATAGTTGCTCTCTTTGCACTGCAACTCATTATTGTAACTACAGAATCTCAATGCAAACTTGCAAAGAAATAAAAATTGTATTGTATTGTATAAGTTTGTATCCTGAGGTACCGCTGCATTAATTCACATTTTTAAAACTGTACTATTGTTCATTTACTTACCATGCTTTTTTGTGCATTTAAGAAATCCTATTGAATTATCTATGTCTAGTTCTTTAGTAATGTTTAAGAATTAGGATTAGTCTGCCCAAAATGCACCGCATGCTAGTGGCTTTCTTTTGTGGTGAACAAGATTTTGTTACATGTAAACTATTATCTGCGTATTGCGTAAAAGAAATAAAGAATTTTGAATTTGAATTTTGAATTTGAATTCCCTAGACACTGTAGGGCCCCTACATGAATATAATGTTATCTCTTCAATGAACATAAAAAGCAGTTTAAATATTTTTATAAATAACTACTAATTTCAAATAGTTACAACTATGGGGAGAACTGGTATAAAAAAATGATGTAAGGGGAAACATTTGCATTGGTGTGCCAATTTCCAATTCACTTCCAATGTCTTCACTGTCCCCAACACATTTACTAGAACATCCTCACTGAGTCCCACCTATGATGCAGACTCTGTTACTTTTTTTTTTATAACAGAAACTGACCTACTGCACAAACTCTGATTTAAATTTTATTCTTGCACACTCACCTACCTCCACTAACCCCTACCCTTGCACTCCCTTGCCCCTATGCACTCTGACCCCTATGCACTCCTATCCTTAGCACATTCCTGCTTTTGCACATCCCTCCCTGCAACACTGTATGACCTTTTTCAGATGTAGTGCTTAAACTGATTACAACAATAATAATAATAATATGTAATAATAATAATAATAATAATAATAAAAATAATAATAATAATAATAATAGTGTGCTTGTTTTCATCTTACAACTATCATTAACTTAATATGAATAATTTTTTTTTACTTACCACTGCAAGGCTCGGAACAATTGGTCCAGTCACTTAATCGCCAGAAATAATTTTCATTTGAATGCAAATTTGATTTTGTGTAACTATATGCAATGTAGGGTGGGTTCAAGTTGCCCACTGACAGGATCTGAAGAAATAAAGTATTCATTACTAAACTAGCTGTAAATATATCTCATTGTATGGATCACATTTTATATTTTTTATTTAACACACTGGCCATTTCCCACCGAGGCAGAGTGAGCAAGAACATAGGAAACTCATTCACTGTCATTTAGTCAATTGCAGTCTTGCCAGAAGTGTGCTGGCATTACATTTCAGATGTCTTGTTGAACTGTATTATCCCCACGCCCTTGTTGAACTGTATTATCCCCACTCCCTTGTTAAACTGTATTATCCCCACTCCCTTGTTGAACTGTATTATCCCCACTCCCTTGTTGAACTGTATTATCCCCACGCCCTTGTTGAACTGTATTATCCCCACTCCCTTGTTAAACTGTATTATCCCCACTCCCTTGTTGAACTGTATTATCCCCACTCCCTTGTTGAACTGTATTATCCCCACTCCCTTGTTGAACTGTATTATCCCCACTCCCTTGTTGAACTGTATTATCCCCACTCTCCTTGTTGAACTGTATTATCCCCATCCCTTGTTGAACTGTATTATCCCCACTCCCTTGTTGAACTGTATTATCCCACTCCCTTGTTGAACTGTATTATCCCCACTCCCTTGTTGAACTGTATTATCCCCACTCCCTTGTTGAACTGTATTATCTCCCACTCCCTTGTTGAACTGTATTATCCCCACTCCCTTGTTGAACTGTATTATCCCCACTCCCTTGTTGAACTGTATTATCCCCACTCCCTTGTTGAACTGTACTATCCCAACCTCCTGTTGAACTGTATCATCCCACTATACTCCCCAACTCCAGAACTCAAATCTGACTAACTGGTTTCCTAGAATCCCTTCATAAATGTTACCTTGCTCACAGTGTATATCTTAATTATACATGCGAGTGTATGATTACCCATTTGTAGCCACTACAGTACTAAGGCATTAACTCACTCCATGAGTGCAGTTAGTTAATGTATCTGTCTCAAGATTAGCGATGGAGGATCAAGTCTCCACTGTTCCTTGTGGTGAATGACCCACGTGGGTTTAGTGCTTCACAAACCCAGGAGCATTATGCCGATGGAAGCCAATCTTTGCTGGCCACCCAAACTTGGGGATTGGCTGTGACTGAATTAATGTACACAAATAACTTGTTCATAGAAGTAAGAAATTTATTACAACATTTTGGTCCAACTGAACCATTAATTAGCCACACTAGTGACTAGTTAATGGTCCAAGTCAGAGTGAAACATTGTCATAAGCTTCTTTCTCCTATGTGTAGGTCATCTGTGTATTGTTCCAGTCACAGTATTGTGCCTTTTTGTTCTTTCTTAATTACTGTGTGCTTGACACTGTTGGAGAGCGAGGTGCATAGGTTCAAATCCTCTGTAGGTCTGAGATAATATTTGTGGTAGATGTGTATTACAGTGGTGACAGATGTGTAGTTTTGGTAGATGTGTGGTGATGTTAGATGTGGAGTGTAGTGATGCTTGATGTGTAGTGTATATTTATTTATTTATTTATGTCTTTGCAAATAGTACATTGAGATTATGTATTTACAATAATGGGTTGCAATGCAAAGAGAGCCTCTATTATGCCTAGGCATTATGGGCCGACTTAACATTATTGGCTTACAGACTACTTAACACTAAAGAATTACAGTGGACCCCCGCTTAACGATCACCTCCCAATGCGACCAATTATGTAAGTGTATTTATGTAAGTGCATTCGTATGTGTATGTTTGGGGGTCTGAAATGGACTAATCTACTTCACAATATTCCTTATGGGAACAAATTCGGTCAGTACTGGCACCTGAACATACTTCTGGAATGAAAAAATATCGTTAACCAGGGGTCCACTGTATATCATAGTTGTACAGTAGATTTATTAATTATAAGTGAATCTAATTTACATAAAACAAAAGATATACATATTCATATATAAAAAAATGCTTTTTGTGAAACAATGATTCAATTATATTCCTGTCGGCAATGGATAATAGGTTCAAAAGTAATTATTGAAATTATGATATGGGAATACGTATTGAGTATGGGAATTCTACTGAGTATTGAGCATTTAGTCTAGGGTGATTAAGTGGCTTTTGAGAAGAGTCTTAAATTGATTTTCAGACTGGGTTACTTTAGTATCTTCTGGTAATGAATTCCATATTTTGGGGCCCTTTATGTGCATAGAGTTCTTACACAGTGTGATATGGACACAGGGTAAATCAAAAAGAGATCTGTGTCTTGTGTGATGGTCATGTATCCTGTTAAGGTTGGTGAGGAGAAGTTTGAGTGGAGGGTTTATATTTGCGTGTAATGTTCTGTGTATGTAGTAGGCACATGAATAAGCATGGATGTTCTTAATGGTGAGCAGATTTAGACTTTTGAAAATTGGTGGAGTATGCTGTCAGGAGTGGGAATTTATCATCATTCTGACTGCTGCCTTTTGCTGGGTTATTAGAGGTCATAGGTATTGGATACTGTTGATCCCCATGCAGATTCCATATGTGAGATAAGGGTATATGAGTGAATGATACAGTGCCAGGAGAGCTGATTGTGGAACGTAGTACCTTATCTCTGATAGTATGCCTACAGTCTTAGAGATTTTCTTGGTGATTTGTTGTGTATGTGTCTGGAACTTAAGGCTACTGTCAAGGTGGATACCTAGGAATTTTCCCTCTGCAAGTCTTGTGACTGGTGATTCGTTTAGCGTTATGTTAAGTGGAACATTTGCAGCTCTGTTTCCAAACTGAATGAAATAGGTTTTATCAGTATTCAGGGTAAGTTTATTAGTCATCATCCAGGCACATATTTTCCGCAATTCAGCATTGACATTATTTGCTAGCATGACTGGGTTTGGATGGGAGAAGACATATGTAGTGTCATATGCAAATAATATGGGTTTGAGTAGCTGTGATGCATTTGGTAGATCACTGATGTAGATGAGAAAGAGGAGTGGTCCAAGGACACTTCCCTGTGGTACTCCTACTGTGATTGGTTGGGTAGAAAAGTTTGCCCCATTTGTGTACACATATTGACTTCTGCTACTAAGGTATGACTTTAGGTACTTGAGGGAGTGACCTCTGATACCACAGTGTGTTAATTTAGAGTACAGCAGTTCATGGTTGACTGTATCAAAAGCTTAACGTAAATCAATGAAAATTCCCAGCAGGACTTCTTTCTTTTCAAGTGCGGTATACAGTGGACCCCCGGTTAACGATATTTTTTCACTCCAGAAGTATGTTCAGGTGCCAGTACTGACCGAATCTGTTCCCATAAGAAATATTGTGAAGTAGATTAGTCCATTTCAGACCCCCAAACATACACGTACAAACGCACTTACATAAATACACTTACATAATTGGTCGCATTCGGAGGTAATCATTATGCGGGGGTCCACTGTATATTAGTTCTAGCATGTGTATGATAGCATCATTTGTGCTTTTATTATTCCTGAATCCAAACTGACAAGGGTTTAATATGTTGTGTAAGATGAGGTAGGGATAGATCTATATACCATATATAAAGCAGACTCTCTCACCTAACACATGATCACATTGCAGGTTATCAAAAAAAAAAAAAAAAAAAAAAAAAAAAAAAAAAAAAAAAAAAAAAAAAAACTAATGAAATTAGGTGAATATAATATTTAAAATAAAATACATGTAGAATTGATGAGGGAAAAAAGGTGAGTGGTGCGCTGAGGTATATGTGGAGTCAAAAAACGTTATCTATGGAGGCAAAGAAGGGAATGTATGAAAGTATAGTAGTACCAACACTCTTATATGGGTGTGAAGCTTGGGTGGTAAATGCAGCAGCGAGGAGACGGTTGGAGGCAGTGGAGATGTCCTGTTTAAGGGCAGTGTGTGGTGTAAATATTATGCAGAAAATTCGGAGTGTGGAAATTAGGAAAAGGTGTGGAGTTAAAAGTATTAGCAGAGGGCAGAAGAGGGTTGTTGAGGTGGTTTGGTCATTTAGAGAGAATGGATCAAGTAGAATGACATGGAAAGCATATAAATCTGTAGGGGAAGGAAGGTGGATAGGGGTCATCCTCAAAAGGTTGGAGAGAGGGGGTAAAGGAGGTTTTGTGGGCAAGGGCTTGGACTTCCAGCAAGCGTGCGTGAGCGTGTTAGATAGGAGTGAATGGAGACAAATGGTACTTGGGACCTGATGATCTGCTGGAGTGTGAGCAGGGTAATATTTAGTGAAGGGATTCAGGGAAACCAGTTATTTTCATATAGTCGGACTTGAGTCCTGGAAATGGGAAGTACAATGCCTGCACTTTAAAGGAGGGGTTTGGGATATTGGCAGTTTGGAGGGATATGTTGTGTATCTTTATATGTGTATGCTTCTAAACTGTTGTATTCTGAGCACCTCTGCAAAAACAGTGATAATGTGCGAGTGTGGTGAAAGTGTTGAATGATGATGAAAGTATTTTCTTTTTGGGGATTTTCTTTCTTTTTTTGGGTCACCCTGCCTCGGTGGGAGACGGCCAACTTGTTGAAAAAAAAAAAAAAATGTAGCTAAAAAAGTTACACAAATTAATGATTTCTTACTTCATATTCTGGTTGCTGGTGCATGTCAATGATCCTAGGAGGGAAAAAACCATGGAATGGGTGGGGTTTGAACCCATGGCAAATGAGACCTAAAACTCAAGGTGAGTGTGTAAGCCACTCCGTGGTTTGTTTGCAATAGTCTTATTATGATTTTGTAAATCTAGAGAGGAGTGGAGAAGAATGGTGTGGCCTTACTAGGCTAAGGTGAATGGTTGTGGATAATTGGTTGAGGCTTTTCGAATGATGGTTGTACTGGAGTGTTCAGGTGTTCTGAAGTGTACTTCTGCTTTATTTTACCCCAAAGAAATTTAAACAGCTGATGGTAAGGTATCATCACCAGCTCTAGACTTCACCTCAGAGGTAATGGTAAGGTATCATCAGTTGCTCTAAACTCCACCTCAGAGGTAATGGTAAGGTATCATCATCAGATGCTCTAAACTCCACCTCAGAGGTAATGGTAAG